GAAAGAAAACATTAAAGAAATAACCAAATAGTAGTTAACAGCAGTGCAAAGTTTTTAAAATGAAATACCCTATTTAAAATGGTAGCTTTGTTTAAAATTGAGTACAACACAGAACTGAACTGATTAGGACAGTGAAGATGTCAGCTTGTAAGTTATTTAACAAATGAGCCCTAGATATCCATTCTGGTAGGTATATCTTGTATGTATGTATGTATGTATGTATGTATGCATGTATTTCTATACTACCCAATAGCCAAAGGAGGGGCTTCTGTTTTTATTTTCTCAGAGCAGGAAATATTGAAATGAAAAGCAATACAAAGAAAATGCAAGTGCAAATTATGAATGGTAGATGGGTGGCTTTGGGAAACACATCAAGATAATAAGCAATAGTTCCTTGTACCTACCTATGTAATAAGCTAAATTTGCACACAGTCTTCCGACAATCACCCATAAAAAACACATGATAGGAACTGCTAAGTTGTACCTGTTCTGACCTTGCTATCACCGAAATATATACAGAGCAGGGGCTGCAGCTCAGTGTTGGAACATCTGTGTCACAGCAGGGGCCCAGGTTCAATCTCAGTGTGGACAGGTACGGTTGGAAAAAATCCTGCCAGAAACCCGAGAAAGCTGCTGCTGATACAGGAAGCCAAGACTGGGCCAAAGGGCCCATGCGCTGATGGAGACAGTTTCCCATGTTCACAGGAAGTGGCCTGCCTATTTGTCTGGGGTGTGAACACAAGCACAGAATCCTACCTGAGCCAAGGTTTTCCTTCTTCGGCTTGTATCAGTTGCATGCAGAACCTCGTCACATCTGAGCAATGCTCTTATAGAAGGAAACCCACCCTGGTTATATAATAAAGGCATGCTTTTGGGTAGACATGTAGCATTGGGAGGTGGCTCTCCAGCCTTATTTGGCTGCAATAGCAATCTTCTGTCCTCCTCTCATCCAGTTCCAATGTCCCTCCAAGCTCTCCAGAAATCACTCCTCCTTGGAGCCCATTCCAGGAGATAACGACACCATTCCCTTGGAAGTAATGGCAGGCACTTCCGTGTCTGCGTGTCTGATTGCCAGACAAGGAAAGGAATGAATGGAAGAAGGGTTATCTTTTCTTCACATTATGTGCAAAGGTTGTGCCCCAACTTCCGTGGTACAGCTAGGTAAATTTAAACCCCGATTGAATGGTCTTATGCACCCTGCCTTTAGATGGCCATGTGCATTGTTCCCATTCTGAAGCACAAGATGAAAGTTTCCCTTATCCCTGACCACTCAGTGCCATTCCATGTTCCGCAACTGTTGCCAAATTCCTGATAGAGTAGAACAAATACAGTTTGGCCAGCCTGGTATAAAAGAAGAAAAAATACCCTTAATGCATGCATTAATGCTTTTTACACATGATAAAATGACCATAACCATAGGAATAAAATACTGTTCGTTTCCGTTGTCTAATGCTAAACTCATTTAATATGGGAATAAGCACCATTTTGTTACAGAGAAGGATAATCGATTTAAAAAGTAATATAATAAAATGAGCACCCTTAAACATGCCAAGCTGCATGCTAGAGCTGAGCTTGTTTGTGGCTGTTCCCATCAGCTCCCACTCTCTGGGTGGTCCTTCTTTAAAGCCTTCCAAGATTGTGGGGTCCTGATTGCCTGCCCCCAAGCCCAGGCCCATCAGCACTACTGTTCAGCTTTCCATGGAATATGCATGGCCATCAATAACTAGCCCCCTACATTGTAAGCATTAAGAAAGAAGGGAACCCTGAGGCTGAGAAAGGAAAAATGAAGGAATTCAAGGACCAGGCCATAATGTAAGACGTGCTTCTGGTGATGTGTGTGACAGAGATAAGGAGGAAGAAAGAAGCATAGTTTTTAGCTTCTGCAGCTCTGCCTGGAGATCAAGACACACAAGAGTGCTAAAGAAAACAAGTGTTCAGCTCTTAGTGCCCAACTTAGCACTGCTTTCAGAAACAGCAAAACCAGCTCACCAGAAGTACAGGGAACTAATCAGATCAAGGGAAGTGCTAAGTCTGCCGTGGAATGCTTCACAAAATTGGAGGAATGTGGTGCTAATGCGACAGCTTGTGTTACAAGCAAAGCAATGGTGGGTCAGACCATTGAATGTGTTACAGCCTAGTGCAAATAATTCATTTGCCACAAAAGTTGAGAAGGATTTATTAGTGGGGTTACTTAAAATTGAAATGTTACCCTTTTAGGGATTATTTCTCACTGAGCTGAAAGACTGGCTTTGTGTTCAACAAAATATTTGTTTTTCTCATGATTTTGTTAAGCTGACTCTGAAATTAGGGTTGAGAAAAAGATCGCGGGTAGGTTTCTTCCAAAGTACACACATAGGTCATGGTTCAAGTGAGGAATATTCTCCACTGCCACATTTGCCTGGATAGTAAATGGCACACCTTAGTTTCACATGTTCTGAGTGCAGGATTCTTTTGTTGGATAAAATACAAACTGCATATCACTATTTGGAGCATTGGTTCCTAGAAAGCGCTAACTCCAAGTGTATGTGTGCGTGTGTGCGTGCGTGCATGCATCAGAGAGAGAGAGAGAGAATATTTGGGCCCTCGTTTTCCTCACTATCACTGGTGCTGCCTACCCAGACAGCTTGTGAAGTAGACAGCAGCTTCTATTCATTGTTCTTCTCCCACAATACTCTTCACTAGACCAGAGGGTGGATAAGAAAAAGAAGAACTAAATATGATTAAGTCTGAATTCAGCCTCAAATAAGTAAGAATTTTGTAGCCTGTAATTGTGGAAACCACTCGACCTGTATCTCCAAAGGTTACTATGGTGGGTAAGGAGAAGATATTCTCTAGTATTGCCCCTTCAGGAGAGACTGAATGATCCAGTCACACTTAATGCAGCCAAGTGAAAAAATTATACAGTCCTGCTATAGTTGATTAGGAGAAGGCAATGCCAACACATGAGGCATGCAGAGATGCAACAGGCAACCCCTCTGTGGTGACTTACCTTGAGACTTTGTTTCATGCCCTGCGTTGTACAGTATCCATTTTCTTCTGTCACATAATATATTTGCATGTCCCTATAGTAACTCCTATGGATTATACAAGAATTTTATAGCACTGGTCATTCAAAAGAAATATTCCATTGGGTGGGGGTAGGATTGAAGGTTTAGGAATCCTGTTTCCCATTGCATTCCGCAAAAGTTACAATGAGTGGGAGCCTCAGCACTGCACAATGTATTCCATCTATCCAAGGACATGTTGAATTTGTTACCCATCCCAGAGGGTAAACCCTTTTGGAAACAGAGGGACTTCCATAGGAAGTTTGTGATATATGAATGTGTGTGTCTACTGTTGAAGTGTCTCTCCATACCTACCATCATCCTTGTATATCTCCTAAGCTGCTCTTTGCATCAAGGCTAATATGATTTATTTTCATGCAAGAAGGCTAAATTACATCATTATTGTTATGCTGTGCGAAAAATAATTGGGTTTAACTTGGAATGGAAACATCCAATATTCTTATCAGTCCTGCAGTAGTAATATGACATTGGGGAAAAACAGAGCTGGAACCAAGAGAACATGTTTTAAATTATAAACTTCTACCAATCTATAGCATGTGAGCACAAATGATTTCTTTCTGAACTAAAGTTAATGGCACAGGAACATATTTCTGTATTCCTTCTCAGATCTCTTTATGATCCTTGCTTGCCATTTTAAAAGCTATTGTGCTGGTGTGTGAGCTGAGTAGAAAATTGCTCTCAGCACAGCATGGTTGGAAAGAATTTGTGAATAAAGTGTAAGGCTCCAGAAGGCTTGAACCAGGGTGGCCAGGACTTGCATTCAGCCATTTAACCTTTGTCACATCAAGTCAGCTTGTGGATGGAGGAAATGGCAGGTGTGAGCCTTGAGCCTGTACACTGCAACCCCGAGAGTTGGCAAGGTTCCTGCAGCTTGTCTTTCGGGCTGAATCAGGGGACCTGGGAAGCCAATCAGACCCTGACTGAGCTTACTGAAACACAGTCTCACATTTGCCTTCTCAGCTTTAGTAACTTCTTAGCAAGAATCATACTGTGTATTTGGTCTGTAATGAAAAGTGTCCTAGAATTCTTCTGGTGGGAAGGGTTAATTCCAAGCCCAGGCAAAAGGCTGCCTGGACCAGGTGGCGACTCAAGAAGAGTGAGGTGTAAAGTCTACGAAAGGGCCAGATAGGACTTGAAGTGCAAAACACCAGGCACCATAAATTATAACCAAGAACAAGGGAATTCACACTTCCCATGAGGTAGGAGAACTGGGGCTATAAGGGCATAGAATTTTCACCTGGAATATGTCATGAGATGTCACCCCATGAGCCACCTGATTGATCAAAGAGAAATAAAAAAAGGGACTCACACAGCTCAGGGTTCTTCTTCAAGGAGAGGTGCCCAGTTGTAGTTGGAGGTTCTGCCAAAGAACACTGTGCTATCTTGTATAAAAGAAGACTACTCTGGGTATTGTATTCTGTGTTAGGTTAGGTGAGCTTTGTTGTTTTGGGGTCCAGGGTGGCCAATTCGGCCTGAGGACTCAGGGGCAGCATGGGTTGTTTTTAAGTAGTGTCTGTGCTGCTCTCCCCTTCCCCGTTCCTTTCCTGTGTGTGTTTGTGCCTTGTGTGTCTTGGTGCTTTTAGACCCACCACCCTATTTTGTTATCCTTTTAAATAAACAAGTTTCCCCCCAGCATTTGGGTTGCCATGTGCTGAATCCAGTTTCTAGCCCCGGGATTTGGAGACCAGGGAGTTCTGAGCAAAGGACTGTGCCCAGGGAGATGGGACAGCTGATTACTACAATGTTTCTGTTTCTGCTACTTCTAGAACCTTATCATGACCCTCCCACTTTATTGGCCTGTTGACCCTTTGAGCTGCCAGGTTTTTGCCTGCCTGCTCTAGAACTTGACGGCCTGCCTGAGGTGGACTCCTGGCTCTGTGGGCTTGCAGTTGGGTACAGTATCTTAAAAACATGACAGGCAAAGAAGCCTAAGAGTAAAGATGATGAACGTTTATTTTAGTATCTTGTGGTAAGGAAGAATATTAAGTGTTGAGGTGAAAGCCTGGATGTCCATAATAGTCGGGAAATTCAACACAGAAGAAGATAAAAATGTTAATTCGGGTATTTTAGCAAACAAAGAATCCTGAGCAGTGGAGGTTTGTGGAACTTCTAAGTCTCCTTCCTGTTTACCATATCCAACCACCTGAAAATTCAAAGGTCAAGTGGTTACCCAAGAGGTCAATACAGATCTAGATTCTAGAAATGTAAACCAAGTCTGATTTCCTGAAAACACTTCTCTTTGCATTACTTTAATTATGACTTTTCTGTCTAACTTCCTCTCAACAGATGATCCTTGAGGGAACAGACCAAACACATTTGCAGAGGAGACAAACAGCCCCCCTCAAAAAAATGGGTTTCTCCAAACTGATTTTACAAACTGCAGATTCAAAACAAATTGACAGGGATGGATCAACAGAGAGATAGCTGCATCACCTCTCGCTCACAATGGTGAACGGCTCTCCAGCGCAAAACTCCAAACCATGCCTTTTTACACATTTGTGAAGTGCAAATTTGCACATGTTCATATGGATGTAAGTTCAGAAAAGTGGGAGGGGGACCAGATGACCCCACAAAAGGCACATAACAATCCAGAAAATGCACACATAACTGATTTAACACCTGTATATCTTAGTTTTGTGAAATTAAAAAAAGTTTGCATGAAAATCTGTATGCCTTGTTGTGTGCGTTTCTCATAACAATGTATTTTGTGCGCCATTTGCCTGATAATTTTGGAAACAAATTGCTTAATGCTTTTAATGCTATCTTCACAGAGATATGAATTTTGTGTGCACTTTTCCTTAATGTACACATTTTTATATACGTTTTTGTCTGGAAAAATTCATGGTAAACTTTGGAAAGTGCAAATGTTGAAGGATAACTGAGTTTTTCTTTGTTTATTGGTTCAAAGAAAGAAATTAGGCAAGCTTGCATAAAAATAAAAATTACTGGCCTTATCATTAAATAAATAGGAGTTTCAGTGGATGCTTATTTGTCTTCTCAGAATGAATCATGCACTCATACCATGTCAGAAGGAAAGCACACACTTGAATTTAAGGTATACTCACATGAGTGCTCAGAATTCTTCTGTATTTGCCCCGGAATGCTAGGAACCAGTCAAGCAAATGGTGTTTAGTTAGACTCTTCAGTGCTACAATCTACAAACCAGAAAGAGTTTGTTAGACTCCTCCAAAGTTATTCTGCAAGCTTCACGGGATAAACCAACCTATCTTTATTCTTGGCCATTCACTCTATAAAAGCCAAAAATATCCAGCCTCCAAAAGGTATGCTTTCAAAGTAAAGTAAGAAGCAAAATGCTATTAACCTTTCTGTGGGAAATGAACATGAACATATTCTTAATAACATAATGCCCCTTTGTATGGCCTACATAGATACAAACTGCTTCCAGTTCCAGAAACTTGCCCTCAACATAGAGACAGCATCAGGGAGGGCACTGAGGAAGGAAAAGTGGTATGCTTTTTTCACAAATGGATCTGTCCAATGTGAATTCCACAAGCTTCTCATTTCCTCAAGCTTGTTTTATCCTAGCTCTATACTTCCTTTACCACCCTGCCAAACATAGCTTTGTATACATTTTTGTGTGTACTTATCAATTTTGCCTACATTTTCAAATCTATGCATTTTTGCATTGGCTAAAGTGTGCTGTGTACATTTTAGAAATGTGCACCAAATGCCATGGGTGTGTTTCTTGTTTTGTTTCACGAAATGTATCACAAGCATGAAAGTGTCCCAGCTTCTCACCATAAATTGTGTTTGGGTCTGCATTCAGTTCTAGGATATACGTTTAGATCAGGTAAGTTCAGCCAGCTCAATCAACCCTAGTCCTCATTCTCCCACTTTGTAAGCTACTGTTGCCTTTAATATGTGTGTGGACTGGGCTTTCTGTCCAATATCCATCCAATACTTCTGTGTTGTTTCTTCTGTTCGCAAATGCCCTAAAGGCTCCACCTGATTCTTAGGGAGATACATTGTGGGGAACATCTCAGTGAACGTTTCCAGGGACAGAGAGGTTCCTCAAGTTTCTCGAGAATGTGGCTCACCATTAGCAGTGGCATCCACAACTTTTTTCTCCATTCTTCCAAGGGTTGATAGCAACAGTAACAATAATTTTTTTGGTAGCCTGGCTACCATTTTGCATCTCCATAAATCTGCAGACCTAGTGTCATTTCAAGGCAGTGGAGCAGAAAAGGTGGTTGCCAAACAGCAACCACAGCAATGCTGGAGAATATTCAGAAAAAGTGCTGAAAGGAGGCTCTTGCCTAGGAGTGTGAGAAAAAGGAAAATCTGGGACAGGTTCTCAGAAAAAATGTTTTCTGATATATCTTTGCTGAACGTGAATCATTTCCCTAGAATCACCTTATACATCATCATATGCATTAGGTTGTAATATGATGCATGCTTACTTGGGAATACTTCCAAGTGAAACAATTAGTCTAGATGTCTTAACAAGTCTTCAAATATATAAGGATATGCTATATCTAAAATATTCCTATTACAAGGATTCTTCTTCCTGAATTTCCTGGGGAAACCATTCCTGCAGGTATGTATTCCGCCATAAGGTAAAATCTGTTAATAGCTAACACCCACAAAAATCTGATTGACTGATATGGTCTTCTCACTGCATCTTTGATATCTAACAATATCTAAAGTAGGATAAAAGAGGAAGACTAGACATTTATTCTCACAGACCTCATGCAAGTGAAAAACCTGACACTGAGATTTTTCCTCTAAGAAGCATATTCACTTGCAGCTGCCTCATACGTGACCTATACTGAGATAATATTTGCATGGAGAACAAGCTGTTCATTTTCATTTATTAAGAGTATGATTTGGGAAACTAAGATCTCTTTCCATTTTACTCTGACCTCCTCATGTAGCAAATCACTGACATTGAAATCTCAGCCCCATGGTGGCAATAGACCCAAATGGCTTCAATCCCCATTTTCCATTTTAGCTCATTTATGGACCAGACCCAAAGCCAATTAATGACTAAGGTTCAATCATGAAAAGTGTGTGTGTGTGTGTGTGTGTGTGTGTGTTGCAAATAGAAGGTAGCAAACTGATCAGGAGAACAAAATAAATTGTATTTTAAATTCACTACCTCTCGGGCAAGTCTGTCAAACAAATATTGCTGAGTTATCACTTCATTCCAGTTCCTCTCCACCTCTTCACCAAGATGGGAGTCATTCGTTTGCTTAAGCTTTATTAGAGCTGAGACCTGAAAAACATGCTGTTCTTCATTGCTGTCATAGGAACCTCTGTGTTTATCAGAATGCGACAAAACTGTGCTTCTAAAACTGGTGTTTCAGACTAAACTATAACCTTTCAATGCTTGTTGCTTCTAACATTTTTGTGAAGCTGATTTTTCAGACTAAATTGAAACCATCAAGGTTTATTTCTGCTTCTGCAATGGCACCCTGGAATCAGACTTGAGGACCACCTGATTCCACATAAACTTGCCCAACTACTACAATCTGACTTGTCACAAAGACAAAAGAGCCATTGGGCAGGGAATAATGGATTCATTATTCTTTGGAAAAGGAGTAGAGCCCATGCTTTCCATGCAGAACGTCCGGTTGGATATTTGTTTGTTTGTTTGTTTGTTTGGGATATTTCTAGCCCATCCACTCACTTTCGTCTCTGGATGTCTTATAAGCAGGTCCAGGAAAGATCCCTGGCTACAAACCGGAGCGCCACTTCCAGTCAACGTTAGACAATATTAGCTTCTATAGCACATGGTAAATTGCTGTGCTCCTAAAGAGCATAGCTTGACCCATAGAGCTACACATTCATTTAGGTGACAAACACATAGATTCCCAGATATATGATATAGTCAAAATCAACCAAGTAAATTAGATATAAATCCTACCTGAGCAGTGAATTCTTCTTCAGACAAATTCCGGAGTTTATTCTCAAAGTACAAAAAGAATTCTTCTATTTTTTTATCAACAAATTCAGTGCTAAAAAAATTAAGAATATCAATAAGAAGTTCAATATTTATTAATTTAAAAACTTGGTAAGCTTCCTTTTGGCTGTCTTGAAGGTGACTAACAAGTCATCCTCAAAATAACAGAAACTCATATGTCATGTATAATTTTAGGGATATAAACAGATAATGACCCTTTTCTTTCTGTGTTCAAATCCAACTGGTGTATATGCCACACAATAGCCAAATGATCATGAAAAAAGGCAGAATATTTATTTATTTATCGATGTATAGCCTGCTTTTTTCCTACAAAGGGCTCCAGGCAGCTTACATCATTCTCCTCCTCCATCTTATCCCCACAACAACAACCCTGTGAGGTAGGTTGGGCCGAGAGTCTGTGACTGGCCCGAAGTCACCCAGTTGGCTCCATGGCCGAGCAGGGACTAGAACCCAGATCGCCTGAGTCCCAGTCCCATGCTCTTAACCACTACACCACACTGGCTCTCATACATAAATGTCATGAAAGATAATAAAAATTAAGAAAACAATTAAGAAAACAATAGAACATGTAATGTCTATTGTTGATATTTCTATAATAAAACATGGCAATAAAATGATTCCCCCATTTCCCACAAAATCCTTAAATACGCATTACATTGGTATTCCCTTGGTGCATTTAAACCGCTGTTAAGTGCACTGCAACATTTGGAAAACTGTAAAATCTGGTTTATCTGCATATTAGTCTGACAGAATTCTCAAGGGATGAATTCCTCAAGCCCCCCTAACAGAAAGCAAGGAACCTGTGAAAAATCAGAGCTGCCTTAGCTGGCACATGTTGCAAAACATTTGGCTTATCAAGCAGCTCCTAGGCTTAAGGGCCCTGAATCTGGGAGGCTTCATATACTGTATGTATACATTACTGGATTCAGACTTACAGTAAGTCAAGCTTAGAGCAGACCCACTGAGATCAGTGAGACTTGACTTAGTCTTATTTACTTAATTCCAAGGATTTCAATAGGCCTGCTTCAAACGTGACCAAATCTGGATCCAAGCGATGCTAAGTAACAATGGCGTTTATGCAGAATGCCCAGTAAGATAATATTTTATACTGGTTAATTGAGACAACCTTTTTTCCCAAATAAACAATTGAGAGCTCATTAATCTTAATGCTCTAAGATTAATCTTAAAAGATACCACCTGCATACAAAGATGTGCAGGCTCTTTAAATTACCAGCATTTCACAGGCAAGAAGTCCACAAAAAACCTTGGTTCAGTTAATTGATTAATTATGGCAGACTGCTCAATTAAGGTTTTGAATCCTGAAAAGCCTGTTTACCATACATAGAAGAGGAAGCTGTTTTAATTTCTGAGAATGACAGCTACAAATGCTCGAACATTTAAACTGAATTTTTTGTAAGGATGCTGAATAACAAGAACAGGCAATCAACCAAAGAGATATATTATCCAGGGTTTTGATGTTTTGATGCATGAGGAATATTAGGCCTTTTGTCAATTCAAGTTGTAGCAAAGCCATATAGAGATTTATAATATGCTCTTGTGATTTGAATATTAGGTTATAAGATGGGTCTCCAACATGTGAATTACGTCTTTTGGAGGTAGGGTTCAAGTATGAACACAAACATCTCTTACAGGTCATGTAGCCCAGCTTATGCAAATAAATACTTTATACTTGGGAGTAAGTAATATTGAATTTAGTCAAGTTTAGTCCTAGGTAAGTGGGTATAGGATTGTATGCTAAGCTTCTAAAACCCTTTAGAAGAGAGAAACATTACCAGTTTGAGAATGGTAAGAAATTGACTGCATTAAATGTTTCAAGCATGTCACACTTTTTTTGTAAAAAATCTGCAGGTCTTAGCTATGAAGAGCCCAAGAATTCACAGAGCCTGAAGATGGAAACAATAATATTAACTTTAATTTCTCTCAGGAAAAAGAAAGAGGAAATGTACTTATATTTGGTTGCCTGTGTTGTTACGGTAACAGAGAAGCCTAGGATCCCAGATGTGTTTCTTGTGGCAGGATAGACATGGTAGCTTAAAGCAAAGGAGAAAAATTGCATTTCAAAAGCACAAGTCATTCTATTCTGAACATTAACATATTCTCACTAGCATATAGGAGCAACCCAAGAAGCCCATTCTTTCACATGGTCACTTAAGGTTTATTATGGAAGCAGTACTGGGTGAATTGTTGAAACTACTGCTTTCAAGTGGTGATTTCATTATTGCCATTGCAGCTGGACCATCTGCCTAAAAAGGAGGAAGAAGAAACAACCAGGGCAACTCCATCTACCATAGGGACTGGCAAAATCCGATGGGTAAGGAGGTTCCATTGGCCAAAAATGCCCTGTTCAAGACTTAGAATTCAATCACAAATGTTTTCAAATTCCAAATTGCTTGCATTTGATTTGTGCAAATTTCCTTCATTTATGCAAGTTTCTGGAATTTGCACAAATTTAATAATGTGCCACAGTTCCCTTCATATAACGAAATGAAGAAAATTTGCGTACATTTACAAAATCTAGGAAACTTGTGCAAATTGAACAGGGAAAAATTTCATAAATATCATATTCAATGGCTGCTTGATTTGCCATTTGTGTAGAGTAAGCAGCAATCACAAATGACAACAGAGATTGAATACCACAAACACAGCAAGCTTATATTTGGAGGACTCTTACATTCTTGAACATGGATTGTTTGCTCATCCATGGCCGAATATAAAAATAAAAAGAAAGGAAGAAACTTGGGGTATGGCGGAAGAATGAGAGATTAATATATGGCACATGGGAAGCATATACCTTGTTTAGAAGCAGAATTATACTGGGATGTGCAATTCTGGTTTCCCATGCAAGACAGGGAATTATAAAAGCTGATAATCACTGAATTCTTTATTTTTACTTATTTATATGCTTATTTAGCAGAGCTGTCTGAAGCCAGGGGTCAGACTAGAAGGGGCCCGGGAGGCCCCTTCTGGCTCTGTTTTTATGTTTCTATTTGCACCACCAGTGGTTGTCTGGATAAAATAGGTGCCTCCAAGAATACAGAAGTTAGCAATGACTGACTTAACACTTCTCAGTATTTAAGTCAGTTAATTATTAAATAACAGGTGTTTTTCAGAGAAAGATGGTACAGAGGGATACTTGCATATACACAGACATTTACAACAAGGATTTCTAAAGGTGGCAAACTTACCCCAGCGTATTCTTCGTTCTCAGGAAGTCAAAGCATGGCTCCTCCATGTGCATCTGAAATTTAGCATAAACATTAAAACTTATCCAAACAACATACTTTCAAAGGAAAAATAATCTGAACACACAGCTCTTCTTTTCTTTAAAACAATTATCAAATGCTGAAGACTGCAAATTTATGGCTCAGTTACCAAATCTAAAAAATATGTTTATATACATTATTGCTTATTATTAGTGGCATGTTTTATCCTTTAGCTGAAACGGCTCATACAGCAGACAACAGATAAATAAAAAAGACAGTCCCTACCCTTGGATTTACAATCTAAAAGACAAGACAGAAAAGGAAAAAGAGATGGGGATGGGGAGAAAGGAAAGACAAAAACAGCAAATCCAGGCCCCAGTTCTTAAACTTACCACGAGCAGTTCTGTGAGTGAATAGTCTCTTAAAGTCTTAGCACCAGTCTAAAATTAAATAAAATTGAGTCTGTAACAAGGTAATAATTTCTCTTTGAGTCTGAAAATTCTAGCCAAGTGTTAGAGTTACTGTAGAGATGAATTAAAGGAGTGGAGGAAGTGCAGAACAGCAGAGTTTTTGGGCTTTATGCTTTTAGAGCATGGGTAGGAAGCCTCTTTCAGCTCAACAACTGAGAAAGTGATTTTGAACAGATTGCAGGAAAGGTTTCAGGGGCCGCGAGTCAGTGGTGGATGGTGCCAAATGCAAAAGGAGCAGAGCCAACATACCAAGAATACCAGCATAATTTGGCTTCAGACTCTTCTGACCAGAACTACGCATTAGGAGATGCATCCCAGCCTTTCTGAATGGGAACAGCTTGGAAATTACTTTCTCGGGGTGGTCTTGATAGACCTCCTATGGCATGATTCCCCATCATGATGCAATGCACTCAGCATGGATACTTGGTGTGGGCTGAGAATTTGACATTGCAAGGACCCCTGCTGAGCTAAGAGCTAGGATAGGCATTGCCTGTTATGGTAAGAGCACCCATACTTCAACCCTCTTCACTCTCTTAAAAAAACTCCCCAGCAACCTGTTCCCACAACCAGCAAGGCAAGGCAAGGCAAGGCATTCATTATTCTGGAAAAAGAAGAGGGAGATTGTACCAAGTAACCAGAAGGAAGCACAGCTTCTCTGTGCATAGGTGGCAGTACCCAGTGCCAATCCCCATTCCCTGAGTTATGTGGGGGGTTTTGTCTTGGGAAAGCAGAGGAGAAATACTTTCTAGGTCCTCAAAAATTTTTCTTTTTCAAGTGTTCAGTTGGACTATCTTTAACTTACACTGCTGTAAAAGGATTAACTTAGATAACCAACTTTATTTTTCCAGGCCCTTATATAAGGTAAAGGTTTCCCTTGATGTTAAGTCCAGTCATGTCTGACTCTAGGGGGTGGTGCTCATCTCCGTTTCCTAGCCTAGGGAGCCAGCGTTTGTCCACAGGCAGTTTCCATAGTCATGTAGCCAGCATGATTAAACACTGAGGTGCACGGAATGCTGTTACCTTCCCACCGAAGTGGTACCCTTTTATCTACTTGCATTTGCATGCTTTCGAACTGCAAGGTTGGCGGGAGCTGGGACAGAGCAATAGAACTCATCCCATTGTGCAGATTCGAACCGGCGACCTTTCGATCAACCAGCCCAGCAGCACAGCAGTTTAAACCACTGCACCACCTGCATCCCAGGCCTTTATATACCCCACTTCTACTCAGGAAATGCTCATGGACTGAAGAATAAGATGGGCTAAAAGGAAATGTCTCACTAATCCTACACCAGTAAGAGGCAGTTGGAAAATTGGAATAGCAAGAAGAGAGTGGCTAGGCCCTGAATGTTCCCATAGAAAACAGAAACTTGAGCATTCAGTCATGGTGTTTTGCAGCTGGGTTAATGATGCTTTGAGGCCATGGCTTATTTAAAGCAATAAGGAAGGGGCAGGAAAATTAGGTGGTTTAAGCACCCACAGATCACAACAGCATTCATTTGAAATCTCTAATACCTGGTGGTAGACGGTGACTTCAGAGTTTGGATCACCTTTGTGAAGGGATTTCACTTTGCACAGGATGTGAGTATTTGGAAGTTCTGTCACCCGGAACTGAATAGGACATGGATGTATTAGAGGACTGAAGTCCAGTTTTCTGAAGAAAGAGCGAGAGAGAGAGAGAGAGAGAGAGAGAGAGAGAAGCAGGGGAGCAAAGTGACTAAACAGCTATTGTCTTTCTAAAAAGACATTTTTCAGAGATAACTGAATATATCTGAAATAGCCATATTTAGCTTTAGATATAACTAGCAATGCTAGTTCATTCATGAGATCAGACCTGCTGATGGAGGGTAAATATGGATAATATATATGTCTGTCTTTTGCTGTCTTTTTCAAGAAAAGCATGTGCATGAAAGTTTTAATTGCATAAAATCTAATATAGTTTCCAGCAACTTTTGTATTTTTGTGCAACTGAATTTGTACACAATTCCAGGAATTAAAAAGCCAGTTTGCAAATCTAGAACATTTGGAAATTCTGTAAATTTGGAAAAAAGTTGGTTTACTGGAGAATCCCCAGGTTGGAGCCATAGAAATCCAAACTCATTTGAATCTACTGGGGATTTCTTTGGCATCACTAATTGAACCTGGAAACATTTCCATGCAAACCATGTGGTCTGCAGCTCTTACCTGGAAAAATATTGAGTACAATCAAACTCAAGCTTTAAGTGCCAGTCAAGTGGGAGAGTTAAACATATGCTCAACTACGACTGAAAAATTTAAACCTTCAAAGTGTTTAACTTTGGCTGGATCATACCCACTATGTTTAATTCTACAAAACTAACTAATATGCATGATTCAACCAAAGTTAAGCCCTTTCAACCTCCATTGACTCTCAAAGTAGGGCAACCAAATTGAAAATACAAGCTTTGCCATGCAGCTACTTGTGTGTGTGTGTGTTTGTGTGTGTGTGTGTGTGTGTGTGTGTGTGTGTGTGTGTGTGTGTTCATTTGAACTTGTATTTCACAAAGGGAAGCAATGCGTGGCCTGCTATGTAAATAAGACAGGAATTTCTGAAAGATTAACGTTTGAATGAATGAATGAAATAACAGCTGGTAGTATTCATAGTTTGGGAAGTTTTAAAAAGTTAATGACTTAGAAATCAATATAACTTTAGAGCACAATATTTTAATGGAAGAAAAGTTAGAGCTGTATAAAATAAAATAAAAAAGATGAGATAGTTGAGGAATTCTTAAACTATATAATTCAAAAAACTTCTAATACATTTATTAAAAAGTCTGGTGATGATTAACAGTAAGAACAATGTTTAAAATAACAGATTTATTTCTAATGTAGGAAGAAACATAACTGGGAGTAAGAATGCACCCAGGTGAGCCTTGGAATTGCATGGTCTTCCCTCCTACGGCTGAAAACAGGGGTTTGAAAACGTCTACTTCCATTTTTGATTAACTACAAACCTGAAATATTGTCGCTAAGATAACTTCAGACTATAGTTTTGAAAGTAGAAGTGCAGTGTTCCCCTTCCCTCCTTACAACTGTGTGAGGGAGGGAAACATGTGAGCACATGGCTTGCTTCAATGTGTCTTTATAACACTAAACCAGAATGTGGGCAGCCTGGAGCCATCAGAGGTTTTAGACTATGACTCCCATAACCCTTGGCTATTGGCCATGCTGGCTGTAGCTTATTGGAGTTACAGTTTAAAACACTGAAGAGTCCCCAGTTTATCTACCCTTGTGCTCAGTCATGGTTAAATGTTAGTAGTGAACCCTAACAATATGCTTTATCTTATTTAAAAACTAGATGGCTCAACAAGGAAATGGGTCAATAAAAAGCAAATACTGAGCAGATATCATTTTGTACAATAATGACAATCCAAAGAACGATATTAAAAAAAAAAAAAGAACAGAGCCGACATACCATGGTTCCCATACAGAACCCCATGGATTTTATCTAATAGTTGAAAATCAAACTAAGTTACTCACTTGGAAACATAATTCAAAAATTCCTTTGATTCCTAGGAGACAAATTGTGAATGGTATCAGTTTTTTTATTTAAAGGAAAGGGATTACTTTTGATATACACATGTAGACATACACGCATAAATAGAAATGCATCAACAAGGAATATTGATAGAAACAAAATGAAATAGTTCAACCTCTATTTTTGTTTACTTTCAAGAAAGGTAAAATTCATATTTCAGGAACTGAGCTTTGTACTCACAAGACTTGTAAAGTTTCCTTGGACGAGTCCCTCTACCCACAGATTTGATTTGAAAGCTTTCACAAATTCATACAGGGATTCTATGGAAATGCCATTAGTCAAAATCTGATATTTTTCTATTAAAGACCACCTGCCATGCTCCAGTATTGAGAGACGTAGATCTCTGCAAATCCAGAGAAATGGGTTATCAGTAAGTATGTGGTCATTCAAAAGGGTCTATGCCCTTGTGCCTTCCCGTCCCTGCCTACAGCCCACACCCCTTTTCTCTTTCCTTAAACCTTTTCTGAGATCACTGGTGTGTGCTTTTTATGTCAGGTGAGAGGAAATACCTTCTTGGATTTTCCCTCAAGCTGTGTCTACAGCTTCTCTGGAACAACCTTGCAGGGACCATAGGATCCCTCTGTTATACAATTTGCCCAACTTCTGTTTTCTTTTTTGTCTTTTATGAGAGTTCAACTGCCTCCAGACTTCTATAAGCTCACGGGTTCCTGGCAAGCAGTTTTCCTAGTTTAAAATACAATTAAGTACCTTTTCATGTAGCAGCTTTATGCTTCTGCATATGTAGAGTTTCTGTGAAATATTTACAAACCACTCATTTTTTGGCCCCATTTCTCTTCCAAACTGATTGGTGCTCAACCACCCAAGGGAATGATAAGGGGTTGCAATTCTAGACAGTTGTAGAAGTGGTGGAGAAAAACCATATACACTTCTAGATGGGGTCTGAAATTTACTACTGTATCCAGTCATCTAGCAGAAAAGGCATATCATTTTTATCGGCTTTCTTTTAAATGGTTTTACTTACAGGCTGACTCATCTCTTGATGTACAGCCTACCTATAGCTACAACATCACAGGATTACTTGCATGTGTGTAAGAGTCTACTCTGTATGTAGAATGTCCATATCATCCATCTGAATGAACTGCTTTTCAATGGAATTTGTGCACACATTCATATGAAAGTCATGAAGCCCTCATGTATTATATATGCATACATGACATTCTCACTGGTATGCAAAATGTGCAAAAATAGTACTCTCTTCTCTGTAGTTGCTGTTATAGACCCACATGTAGGCTAAGTGCAGGACAATCAAGTTTGCTGTAGGCTGATTTTGTGCATCATTTTGGCAGGAAAAATACTGATATGAGTAGTCATTCCAGAATACCCTGAACATTCTTCCATGATATATAGCTGTTTTGACTTTTTCCAGGATGGAATCATTCTCAAAGCACTCTCATGTTGGGGTGATTTGAAACTGATGTCTACATGGAAGTTTCTTTAGTGAAGTCAATGTATTATTGATTTCATTTATACAACCGAGTCCTAACATTGTAGGACTTCCCATAGGGTTCCCCTAAGGGCACTTACTTTGCCAGGGTATCTGTTTTGATGAGATAGTTGAAGTATGTCTTTTTAAGCTGCTCAATTATCATCTGGAATGTGGAAGGTGTGAAGCTGAGGTCAGACAAGTGATCAATGATCAGTTCAAAGAGCAACTGGAAAGAAAAGGAAATTTTGATAAGGCCTTTTTTGGCTTAAAGAAGACTAACATAACCTCTTCATGCATCTTGTCTCACATTTCACAGGCCACTATATACAAATATAAGCTCCTGAAGTACAGGCAATACACTGTATACAGGATAGTGAAAGGTCTAGGAATCCTATGTGACTGAAATCCTGGAGAAAAGAAGATTAAGGACGGACATAAGATCTGCCTTCAAATATCTGAAAGGCTGCCATGTAGAAAGCAGGGCAGACTTACTTTGTCTTGTTCCAGAGAACTGAACTAGATGTACTGATGGAATTTTTGGGAAGCAGATTCTGGCTGAACATGAAAGGAGATTTCTTAATCATAAAAGCTTTTCAACCCTGGAACAGACTGCCTTGAAAATGAGTGGGCTTTCTTTTCTCTGGAGACATTTCAAGCAGAAGCTTGAAGGCCACATGTCAAGGATGCTGTAGTTGCACTATTCTGCACTAATGACTGGGATAGACTAGAGGGCATCCAAGATCCCTTCCAACTCACAAAGCCTATGGCTTGTACATGTCAGAAACTCAAGGGAGTGGAAGCCATTACTGGTAAAGCTAACTGATAAATTGCTCTGTGGGCAATTTTTAGCTGGGTATTATATTCATCCAAAAAACAAATGGATGAAAATAAATACAGAAACACTTTAAGTAAAAGGGGGAAATGCAAACAATTTTAACATTTACTTGAAAATCTTCCATTAGCGCTCAAGCAGTATCACCCAATGCTCTTGGTCCATTTTGGCAAAAAAGAGTGAGTTTCTGGATTTGACTAATTAGTAGAGTTTTCAGGGGTACGGGCCCAGGTAACAATTGTTCCTAGGGTTGAGGTTATGCACACAGGATTAATTTGTTAAGACAAATGGGTGACTTACAGGCAGTTTATGGTTAAAACCTTTCACACGAATGGTCAGGCCGTGATCTTTAGCGATGACTTTGTATTCCATCTGAGCAACATCTGCTTCATATGCTGGTTCAGCCAAGCTGTGGCTGAGGATGCTTACAAAAGTATCAAAGAGCACCATACTGCAAGGAGAGAAAGATGGCAGGCAGTGTAACACAACTGAGGCAACAGAGTTGCAATGACCTAGAGGAGAGCTGAAGAAATTCTTTCAGCCAGAAAGAGAAGTTCTTCCATTCTTCAGAGGAGTTCTCAGGGGCCAAAGGCAAAAGGGGTGGGGCATGCATATTATTATGACAATTGCTAATTTATATTCATAATTCCCCTTTTCTGAGGATCCCAAGGTGCCTTCCAGCTCATTTTCCACTCCATTTTTACCTCATAACAATAGCCTGTGAGATAGGGTAAGCTGAAAATGAGTGACTAGCCCCATGAGCTTGATGGCTGAATGCAGAGTAGAGCCCAGACCCAGGTTCCAGTCCAGCACATGGCTGTCCTGTTGCAGCCTAGAGGTCCTCCTACTGTTTATAAGTGTGAGAGGACACATTTCAGCCATTTATAATGTGTGTGTGGGGGCGGGGGTGGGGGGGGAGAACCGCACAAAGACCAGTAAACCAGTGAATACTTGCTGGTCAGGAAAAGGATAAGGGAAGGGGAAAGAGAATGACCATCTTGGGGAACTCTAGAGGGCTGGATTTAGTCCACAGGCATGAAGTTCTCTACACCTGAAGAAGGAAAGACATAAAAGATGAGCTTGGTGCAATGCTGTGGTACACTTTAAAAATGCTGCACTTAAAAAAGATACTTTCAGAGTTTCATGTTTCCCATGTACTGTGAGACTCTTCCCATGTGCAGAGGTGAATTAGACTGTAAAGCAATCAAACTTCTGCATGGGAGGACAGGATCTGAAACCCTTCGAGGTTTTCTCAGTTCTAGATTATTTCTCTAGTGTGAAAACCACAAAATTTTTTGAAGCCTGACATTATAACAAGCGACAGGACTAATCCTGTCATGTTCCAAAGGTGAAAATCAACCACTTTTCATCTCTAAAATACATAAAATGTGTAATTAACATTTGCAAAGCATCATCATCATTGCCATCTGTAGAAATTTTAAAGCATGCCAAAAGAGTGGAAAAAAACATGACTTACTTCAGTGCAGACTTTTGTATCAATGGAGACACCAGATAGAAACAGATAAACGCTGGGAAAAGAAAAGGAAAAGGAGTGGAGGAATGCAAAAGGAATCAAAATCGCATCCCTCACCACCTGGCTGTTATCCTTTTAATAGTCACTTAAATTGTATCTATATTAACTATATATATATATTTATTTATTTTATTTATTTAAAACATTTCTATGCCACCCCCATCACAACAAAGCCTCGGGGCGGCTCACAAAAAATACAAAAAAAAAAAAAAAAACCATCCCCCCCGCCCCCCGTGCATTCTCGGCTAATTTAAAAATGTTAATCTTCCCCATAGCAGATGTTCCTGGGAGGATTTCAAACAGTTAAAAATCTAAACTGCAATATCCAAAGTTAAACTTATGAAACACAAATCAAGAATAAAATGCAATATGAACAACAAACAGCATAGGAATAGCAGCCATTAAAAAAATTTAAATGTCAGGTTAAAAATAGGTCTTAGTCTTGTGCCAAAATAACAACAATTTAGTTGGCTGGTGAACCTAAGGCTTTCCATAAATAGGATGCCTTGAGAAGGCCCTCGCTTTGTAGCCACCCACTGTCCTTTGTTGGAGATACTCAGAGGAAGGCCTCCAAAGATGAGCAAAGGGTCCAAGCATACAGATAAGAGGAGACTATCTTTATATATTATGGTTCCAAATAGGAGAGGAATCTGCGCTCGCTCTCTCTCTCTCTCTCTCTCTCTCTCTCTCTCTCTCTCTCTGTGTGTGTGTGTGTGTACTCCCACATGAAAAATGCAGTGGATTAGCTTGGCTTAGCCCTCTAGTTTCTGACTTGTCTACCCAGAGCTAACACCAGCTCACTCAAATGTGAAATAAGCCAGCATGTGATCTTCTACTATTAAAACAGGCTGCAATTTGCACTTAAAGATGGCAAATTTTTATATATGTCCTCCCGCCCCTTGAGATCAGCAACAGATGCCCTTCTCCGGGAACCCTCTGTGAATGGTATTTGGAGGATGAGTACCCGGAGGAGGGCTTTCTCTACGGTGGCGCCCCATCTATGGAATGCACTCCCCAGAGAGGTCTGCCTGGCGCCATCATTATTTGTTTTTCAGCGCCAGGCTAAGACCTTTTTATTTAAAACTTATTTTAATTGTTAAATTATTGTATTTAGGATTTTAAATTAGCCGAGAATGCACCGGGGGTTTTAAATTTTTTGTTTTTGTTTTTTTTGTGTGTGTATTTTTTTGTGAGCCGCCCCGAGGCTTTGTTGCGATGGGGGCAGCTCAGAAATGTATTAATAAATAAATAAATAAATAAAAATTTGCGTAGAGGAGACTGCAACTTGAAAAAATGTGCAGCTGCATTTTATACAAGTAATGCACCCAAGCAGATTGAGTGCTCTAGGGGTACCCTTCCCTAGTGTATGCAGTTCCCTGACAAAGCTGGGTTGGCACACCTTTGGTCTCGAGGTCCACTGCAGCAATAGGTCAGGAGCTGTGTGGGGTGCCTGACAGGTGGCAAAGATGCTGGCGGATGGGTTGTGGACTGGAGGTGGGCACAGTCAGACTGAGTATCTCCACTGCCCCATTCTCTCACCCTCACTTGCATACACCCATGCATCAACACACCCACACAACACCTTTCTCTCTCACACACACACACGTTACTTGCTCCCCTGCACTCAAACACAAAAATGAAGTTTTCTGCACAGCCTTCTGTCCCGCTCCACACCCCACAGGTACCTGCACAGACACACAAGGGTTTGAATGCATGCACGCACAAGCACACACTTCTTCCCATCCTGGTGTGTGGGAATGAAGAGACTCAAAGAGATCCCTTTGTCCCTCCCCTCTGCCCAGGTGATTGGGCCTCAGAACAGCTGAGGAACACATTAATTGGTGCACCTCACAGTCAGCTCTTCCCTGTGCCAATCAGGGGGCCATGAGGTCTTGGTGAGGAAAAGAGGTTTCACATCACAGTAAAGGTGCACCATTTGAATGTGTATATTTAAAAGTGTTGGTAAGTAGGTGGTGGGGGGTGAGATCCCAGCCTTTTTAGCAGACTTGGAGAACACTTACTTGGAAGAGGGTGAGCAATTACTGTCCCCTCCCCATGCCATCCCTCTTGTTTAAATTGCACCTCCACATCTGTTAAATAGCTAAACGTGTGGCCTTGCTGGTTAAAAGTAGGCTGTGGGTTCTAACTGACAAGATCAGTCACCTTTGCTGAAAGGATCTGATTCTGTAGACACACCCCAAGCACACTTTCTCCATCTCTGCATTTCTCCTATTTTCTTGTAGAGAAACAATTCAGTTTGATGAGTGCTTTACAGTTTGAAGTGATGAACATGCCCATGTTGTGGACATGATAACAGTCCACAAAGCCAGGCCCTCAAGGGAAATCAGCTGATGATCCACATTAGCAAGCCTGTTGGTGGCTGCTTTCATCGCCAGGAGCATATCTTTTGGGGAGTCTTAATTGCCTATTGCTTTGCGTCATGAGAGGAAACCATGGATAGTGGGGACTACAGCTAAGCTCACAGGGAAGTCTGAGTGGGAAGCCAGTTTCCTGTAAATCTAGCTTCCACTACACCCCTGGCATGCATTTGGAAAGTCTTTCTGCCAGTCTCCCCAAAGGCTACCCATTTGGGAAGGGCTTTTAAATGATTAAGAACTCTCCAAGGTGCTGATTGTTTTTAATATTAAATCAAGTACCTTTGAAGCCTCCCAGTAACTTCTTAATAGGCTCTCTTCCATACTTCTAAACATGCCTTGCACACATTTTTAATATCCCATCTCATGATATTTACCTTTAGGGACACCAAATTTATTATCTTCTTTATACCATAGGCAGCCATGACTGGTATTCAAGATTTTGGTTGGATATTCTTTGGTTTTCCCACTTGAATTCTTCACAGTGAAGTCTGTGGCTGATATAGAAGATAAAATATGAAGCTTATTTAAAGAAGAATGTCATGCTTATACACACACTTAGATGTAAAAGCTTTAATATGTACAGGAGCTTGAGACAACATCTTGAATCTTTGAGGATCTATAAATTCGGAAACCTCTGCCCCATTTATTTCTTTATTTGATTAATATATCACCTTTTCATCAAGAAAATGGCCCTTTATTTATTTATTTAGTATGGTTTTGGTACAATTAGCCAGGAAGTCTACAGTATACTGGCACTCAACTTGGCTAATAGCTATATAAACATTTTAAAAAAACCCTATGTTAAAATAAGAACATTAATGCACTAAAATACATATAAAACACTCCAAAACAACAGAATAAAAGCAAACCCAACAGACCAGTTGACTAGCCATCATTCTACTTGAACAGAAATATTTTTGCCTCACAGTGGATGCAGCAAGGTGGGTCAGGCTAGACTCCCTGGAAAGGCCGTGTGGTACGGAGAACTGGGCGGCATTCTTGAAAAACCAGCTGGACCACATCTGGCCTCTGGGCCTAAGGTTCCCCATCCCTGAGAAGTCAAGTTCGTCATGACACAATTCAAGAGATGAGCATGAGAAGGCTATGAAAGTGGCTCTTTCTATGTGCGATTGGAATGGCGTCTCTCTGGAGTGGGGCAACCCCTATGGCTCTGCTGACATATAACAAGCACACTGCTGGGCAGAATACTCCTTTTGTACCACTGACCTATATATTTATTTTCTTCAGGCAGGTGTAAGTCTGGATGTAACGCGAAGTCACTGCTCCACAATTTACTCCAGGATGCATCAATTTCTGTGGATGTAACAAAACATCACATTATGCTGACATCACCAAATGAACACATTAGTCAAAAGTGACCCATGTCAAGCATTATCCTGGCTTAACAGCAATGGCATTGCACTGAATCAAGCATGTCCCAAAATTCAAGTTATAATCCTTATCTTCCTACAGAAATCCTTCTAAACCACAAGAAACACCACCTCCAACTGGAGGAGCTCTGAAATCTTTTAATACCATATTATATAGGAGCATTGCTATGGAGAAAAATGAAGAGACCTTTCCTTAGCAATTCATAAAGCCTAATTAACATTTCTATTCAGGCCTATTAAGATTCCTTCTTGTTTTAAGGCTCAATTTTAAAATATGCTTGTAAATACATCAAATTATCACTTTACCTGATACAGAGTAGAGTGACCCAAACCATTTTTCCTTCAGGTGACATTTTCCTCGATGGGTAGGAGACAAGAGAAACAGGTTTGCTTTCTGAGGGATGAGGTAACTAAGCGCATTGGCAATGACCTGTCAGTAGAAAGGAATTTTGGGGACACATGACATTTTCATTTTTAATAGGCTGCCTTCCATATTAAAGCCACAGGCAGAAGAATGAATACTTTTAGTAAAGACTGCAAATAAATATGATGCAACTATTAGCTCTAAAATGTGGGCAGAGGAGTGTGGCAGAAACTGTGGATGGATTTCCTTCTCTGTTCCAGGCAGCATTTTCTATCCTGCTCAAAGAAATATGCCTTTTTCTGTCCACCTTCAACAGTCTGCATTTGCCTGAAATGCAGGCAAAGCAGAAAGGTATCTGTAAAACAAAACAATGAGTTTGTACCCACACACACACACTGTGCAGAAATAAGATATCTGCCCAAATATTGGCAAGCAGTAGTTGCACAAATTTTCTATGCATTGAGAAGAGGTGCAATGGTAGGCATTTCCTGCTGGGTGCTTGTGCAAAGGCTCTGCAGGGACAGAATGAGTCAGGCGGTAGGCAGGGGGAAGATGGACTGAGTCCACAAAGCCAAGCTGAGGAAATCTGACAGAGGTTCACCCCCAAACCCATTTCTGTGCATGGAATATATCAGTTTGTTTTCAACTAGCTACACCTGACTTGTGAACATGAAGAACTGCCTCCTCAGGCCCATGGTACAGTTTGGCCTTTGCTTTATGTTTTCATCACATATTAGCTAATCTTGGTTGTATATTCTACTTGGGAAGTACAAGGAGTACTTATATAGGGTTATATCCTGGTGGCACCTCACTTCTCTTCCTGCCTACTCCAAGACTGAGCACTTGCAGGGCTGAAACTGGCCTTCCAAGTGCTTTGCATGATGGAAGAAATGTTGAGGTGACCTTTGTCTCCAAGCTGCGACCACCATGCATGGGATATCCACAATCCTCTAGACTGAGGGTGAAAGGCAGCCTCATTGGAGCTCTTCTCAAAATGAGAACCGAATAACATTAACCTCCAGCTATATGACAAATAGAGAGCTTGAGTACCTCCTTCCTGGACATCCCATAAAACATGCAGGATTCAAATTTTGAGAACACGCTTTTCTGGATCCCCTTATTTTTATGTTTTCTGGTTAATCGTGACTCATTTTAAGTGTTATGCAAGCATTTTAGATTGGTATCTACAGACTTCCTTCCTTTAAAAAGTGTGCCTGTGGGAGTACTTACTTCAGGGTTATACTCAGTCAGTAGCTGATCCCCTGTCAATAGGTCCTCCTTGCGAAAGATGTGCATATTTTCACAAATGTTTTCTACATATTCAAGTGGATCAATCTGGGAATAATCACATCATTCGGAAATCATCAGTAGAACGAAAGATCTCTTAGATAGCAGTGCTTCAAACTTGGCACTTCTGATCACTAAAGAACATGTGATTTCCAGTCCAAAAAATACTACAAATTGATAATTTGTTATTGCCACAGTCAAAAAAAAAAAAAAAAAACTGGAATACTGAACAAAAATACCTGTTCCTGGAAGCAAAATTCATTGGCTTCAATCTTCTGAATTTCTTCCCATATTCTACCATAAAGGAAATAAAATTGTTGATATTTTTTCAGTTTTACTTCTCAACCCGAATTTCTAGGCAATATATTTAAATGAATGAAGTTTCTTTGCAGTAACTATGAACTCTACAGACAAACTATCTTTGAACAGAAAAATGAATGGGAAATTAGGTAGGAAGGAATTAGAAGAATATATGAAACTCTCAAGCCAAGCTGCTTTGTAAACTGCAGATATTACCTATTATATATTTGTAAAGCTGTAAATTCCAAGAGACTGGGAACAACATCTATTGCCTTCTTGTTTCGTGACCATAGTATATAATGTTGATTACAATTATAATATCTCTGGAAGTGTACATAATAGTAGTGAATGCTTTTGCTACCTTGAAATGATCCAGAATGACCATAGTGCAATACAACTTGCTCATCTTTGTGAACAGCCGATAAATATGAATATAGGAACCATTATATTTTATTGATAAACATTTCTTGATGAACAATGCTAGTCTATTGATGTTTATTCAGAAGTAGAAGCTCAGTAGTACTACTTCCAGGCAAATGCATATACAATTGCAGCCAAATATGCATACAAATAATGTAATTATCAAACAATAGAAGGGAGACAATCTGCAAAATCTAGCATGCAATCTTGCATTTCACCACAAGGGCAACATCTGGTTCTTGGGAATCTTAATGGTTCCATGACAAAGAGAAACAAACACATGCACACCCCCACATGTGCCTTGACTCTTCTTGTTCATGCAACACTGGGTCATTTTCAGCTGATTAAGCAAACTGATTCCATTTGAAAACAACCTTTGTTATAAATGGTGGATTCTTATCCATTGATGCTGCTACCATCAAGCAGGAAATGTACCTATGCAGACCAGCCCTATGAGCTCTGAGCACCTGCCAGTTCCTGATAGCATCATTTCCACAAGTTGGGGGTCTTCTTATGTTTCCTTTTTTCATGGTTCTGTATTTCTCCCATGTCTTTTTTGATGTTCTGTTTTCCTATTTATCACTGACAGAACTTCCACTAAAAACAAGACAGGAAAGACAAACACAATTTTACCCCAACTTGGGAAAAGGGTACCTTTTTTCAGGTCCATTTTTTTGCAACATCTTCAAATACTGGAATATAAGATAAGCAACCTGAAAATGAGAAATGACTCCAGTTATTGCTAGACTACATTTGACTACATTAAAATGGCTGTATTCACTTGTATTGCTAACACATTGGTTCTGTTAACCATGGTTTTTCTTGGAGAAGAGCAATGAATCTGTAGTTTGTTTTGTCCAGTGTTGGTTTGTTTCCTTCCCCAATCCCTCTGCCAATTTTCGGGGGAGAACCCAAATGTCTTTGTGGCACTCCTGGGTTGACATGGCCTTACCACATCATACTTACTATGGGCCAACAGCACAAACAAGGCAAGAAACGGCTTGGGTCCTTAACGGCTTGGGTCCTGGTTACCTGAAGGAGTGCTTACGTCCATATATGCCCGCCCGCCCCTTGAGATCAGCAGGAGAGGCCCTTCTCCGGGAACCCTCCATGAAGGAAATTAGGAGGGTAAGTACTCGGAGGAGGGCTTTCTCTGTGGTGGTGCCCAATCTATGGAATGCGCTCCCCAGAGAGGTCTGCCTGGTGCCGTCATTATTTGTTTTTCGGTGCCAGGCAAAGACCTTTCTATTCAAACATTATTTTAATTGTTACTATTATTTATTTATTTTATTCTTTGGCCAGGGCGACTTAAATTTTACTGTTATACTGTTAAATTATATTGTTTTATATTATGTTATTTATTTATGATTGTGAGCCGCCCTGAGGCTTCGGCGAATGGGGCGGCATAGAAGTTCTCTAAATAAATAAATAAATAAATAAATAAATAAATAAATAAATAAATAAGAAACTGTCCTTGGAGAATTATGGCTGCTTTCAACACACCATAAACCAGACAAGTTTGCCCCACGTTCCTTTTCCCAGACAAGAGTGGTTTGCTTCTGAAGTCTGTAAACCAATCTTTACTACTAAAAAGGAGAAGCAAGTTGCTGTTCTTCCTCTTCCTCTTCAAGACTCTTCTGCAGTCTCATGAGATTTTTTTTTTTGGAAAATAATCAATAGCCCAGTTGGTGGGCAAGAGTTTAAAGATACTGACTATTCATCCTGTGGACAGTGTACTATTGGTTCTGAAGGAGATCCTTTATCTTATTCCCTAATAATTGATAAGTACTTTCAAGTCTTGAGGGAAACATTCTAGGCTAAATGTTATTCAGTCCCTCCCCAAAGTCCTGTTATTCCCCAAAGCAAGGAAATAGGAGACCATGTCCGTCCTCCTACCAACTTCTCTGTTCTACCTAGCACCAGATTCTTCTGCTGTGAGCCCTGGACAAATACATCCTATACTTGGAGAAGTCTGTGCATCTGCCACAGGGAGAAAAAGTGAAGCACGGATTAGGAAAAACAATTAAACTTTTGTTCCCTGTTAGAGTAATTTGACTTGTATAAGTACATATTCCTATGAAAGCGCTACATTAGGTCTGGAAATAACCACGATAAAGGGAACTGACCTCATAGAAATGTTCTAAACCTTCATCTGTCAAAGTCACAGAAATGCTGAAGATGGAATAGGTGGAATTTTGTTCAAATCCTGTCTCACCATTTCCTCCATACAATGCAAGAGCCCAAAACCTATTATAAAATTAAAGCAGAATTAGTTAAATACTTGAACAGGACTAAAAAAAAAAAAAAAAAAAAAAAAACTGTTTTAACTTCAGTGTAGGACTGAGTAGAAAAATGAATCTCGGTTGTTTGTGGCTTTAAATCACACATGCCCAGCAATATTTATAAAATCCTATTTGTATTGCAGTGTTGGCAATATGTAAATGTATTTGTAGTATTTTGATAGATTTAGTAAGTGAGCCGTTGTTACATATAAGGTCTGTTTTGCAGTAAAATCTTGAATGTCTACACCAAACTAAGTTCAAAGGGGCTTATTCCCAGCAAATTAAGTATAGGGTTATAGGGTTGCAGCCTCAGGATGAAATCTTAAAAGTTCTATACTTGCTGCAGCACACTGGAAGTTGTACGAATCTGTCTAATCATGCATACAGTTGCACTTTTAGCATTTCCCTTCATTTAGCTATGGCATATCAGTTCCTCCAAGGAATGCTATCCTTGAATTCTTTAATGAAATATGGACACCCACCCCATACACACCCACACACCCCACATACTTTTTCCTAAGAAGTGAAAGCACACTCCCCTTCCCTTCATGCCCTATCAGCCAGGAGATGTAGTGGAGAGGCTTAATCCTAAAAAAAATAAAAATAAACAAAATCTTACATATCAGACACTAAAATTACAATAACAACCATCATTTGAAGAATGAGAACTTCTACTCTAACATGTGTAGCTCAGAAAGTGTGGAGGGCTATATCTGTTAATTTTGCTTTCTTCACATTCAACTGTGTTTAAACAAAAATCTCAAATCTCAATAATAATAATAATAATAATAATAATAATAATAATAATAATAATAATAAATCTAGAGCTTCCATATAGCTGAAGTGTCTGGTCCTGCCTCATCTTGGAAACTAAGCAGGGTTGGGCCTGGTTGAAATCTGGATGGGTGACTTAAAATTTTGTGAACTTCCCAGAGAGCTTCACAAAAGCTTTTGTGGGCAGTATAGAAATGAAATATCATCCTCATCCTGTAAAAAACAATATCACAGTAGGGTCAAAGTAGGCATAATCATGGTTAAAATACACCAAGATTCAAAGCTAGGCTTTTGTCATCTAACACTCAAAGCCTGAATGATGGACTGTGCCAGTTTCTCTCACATTTGAGTGTTTTAAATGTCAAATTCTTTATCTTATATTATTAAGACATTTATGAATTTTGGAATGTGTTTATTAAAAAACATGAACTGAACAAAATATTCTCTTCCAAGTATCCCCTTGTTTACCTATTTAAGGAAAATTACAAAGCATTTGGCAACATGGTGCCCCTGAGATCTTTGGACTACAGGTCCCAACACTTCAGTCAGGGTGTTGGCAATGATGGATGTTGTAGTGCAAAACATATGGAAGGCACCAAGTTGCATTCCTTTGGGCTATAAAATATTGTTTCAATTTGCAAGGTGACTTGGAGCCATCACTTGAACACTGAGCCAAATGATCAAACGGGTCTGGTAATCAGTACTGTGACATGGGGGACTAATAGTCTTGACTCCTGAGTTATTAACACCTCGTTCTAAAAGAGAAGATGGAGTATTTCTCTATCTATGATGATAAACAAACAAACGGACTAGGCACATGGTCCTGAGCTTTGACACCCTGGTACTAAAGTGACAAAGGAGGACAATGTTCTTAACTGCATGTTGGGTTCTCATCTATGTTTAAGAACTGTATAAAATAAACCATGTTTACATACTATTCCTTACCTATAATTCTTTTCTTGTGGAGGAAGAGCCCAAGAGATACAGAAAGAATGGATTTCTTTCACTGGAATAACTGAAGCAGGAGAAATAAATCAATATTAATATCCTGAAAGATGGATCTCTTGAAGTTTGAGAAGAGCCAGTGAGGAAAGCAAATAAATATACATTAATTTGAAATGTTATAAGGCATTGCCAAATGCCAGTGTACTTCTATACTTAGTCTTTAGGTTCTGCCTTCTCTAAATAACTATGAGTCCCTGTTGTATTATTCTGTGTCGAACAACTCTGTAAGGTCAGATCAATATTATGAACTCCATATTGCAGATTGAAAAAACTGAATCTGAGAGATATTGGTTTGCCTAAGGATAGCTTTCTCCAGCTTGCTGCTCTCTGCATGGTTTGGACTTTGTATCAGCCCCAGGTAACAAAAAATGGTCAGAAGTGCAAGAAGCTGCAACCAGAAGAGCATGAGGAATCCAGGATACCGAATGGAGTGCCTGGTTATACACATGTTACACTGATGTTGATGCAAATTCACTGACTACCAATTAGCTACTGACCTAAGTATAAGGTCATGCTGTTTGCATACAAAGTCGTGAATGGCTTCAGGTCAGGTTACCTGACAGATGACCTTCCTTGTGCACCTGTGTGTCCAATGAGGAGGAGGTCTTCTGGTTGCACTGTGATCTGCAACCAGGACGTTTCTTGAAGCAAGTGGGAAGTGAACCTTCTCCAGGGAGATCCCTAATTTATAGAATGATCTTCCTCCTGGTTTCAGTGATGTGCCACCAATTAACGTATTTTAAGCACCAATTAAGGATCTACTTTTTTATTTCTGAGGCCTTGCTGAGTAAGCCTGCATCCAAGTCAGTTTTGATTGCAATTACGTCTTGTGGCTTCAAGTTGCTATCATTGTTCATAATGTTTTATAGCAATGTTAAACTATTATGTATTTTAGTTGTATTGCAATGCTTATCATGATGTATTTTAATATATTTTTAAATTTGGACAGCACTGTATACAACTATTAAATAAATAATAAAGGCTGACCTGAACCAGGAATTTCTTGCTCATATCTCTTCTACTTAATCATTGTACTGCATTAGCCAAAGGGTTAATACAGTTTGAATTAGGAAGGTCCTGATTGTCTATATTTAGTTTTGACCATTTAGTTTTGACCATTTATTGTCTATATTTAAACCCAGACTACGTACAGAAAATGTGAGGAGACCTGAACATTTTCAAGAGTTCTGTACTGTCCAGGGCCTCATGGCTTAAGAAGTTATGTAAAGAAGTGGTGGAGTGGTGTGTGTGTGTGTTCTTTTCAGCATTTATCACTTTCTGTGCTTTGCAGCTTCTTTGGATGTTTGTGTTTCCAGGATACCCCCTAGAGGACTTAACCAGGACTTCCCTTGGGGCTTTCCAGTGCTGCTGATTGCCTGCAAGTTGAGTGAAGAGTTGTTGTCCTCGCTAAAGGAATTTTAGAGCAATACAAGAAAAACAGAAATGGCTTGCTCCACTTTCAGGCTCTCAGCAGGCTGCAATGCCAGAAAGGCCCAAGGGAGGAAGCTCTGGTTAAGTCCTCAGGGCTTTTTTCTTTTTCTTGGAAACAGGAGAACTCCAGAGGCTGCAAAGCATGGTATGGGATGGAACTTGTAAAATGAGGAGCATGCAAGCACAGTAAGGCAAGCACTGATGCCCTGCATGCTAGGAAATTTCTCTTTCCAGTGAAAGAAGCAGGGTAATGACTACCTCTGTCTTAGAGAACTGAAGAGGATGAGAAAGTGCTGGTGAGGTTTTGGCCAGGACTAGTCTCAATATAGATACTGAAGTTGAAATTTAAATACTTTGTCCACCTAAAGAGAAGGAAAGACTCCCTGGAGAAGAGCCTAATGCTGGGAACAATAGATGGCAAAAGAAGAAGGGGATGGCAGAGGATGAGGTGAATAGATGGAGTCACTGAAGCAGTTGGCGTGAGCTTAAGGGGATGGTGGAGGACAGGAAGGCCTGGAGGAATGTTGTCCATGGGGTCACGATGGGTCAGACACGACTTCGCGACTAACAACAACAGTCTCAATATGCAACCCATTCAGATAGCCTAAAAATATAAGAACCAGGGACAAGTTCACCTACCTTTATAAAGCCTATGAAATTCTTGTGTGTCAAATGGCTGCAACAGGTGACCAAAGGTTGGTCTAGGGAGTCCACTTAAAAAAACAGACAATTAACAGTACAGTCTTTTGGGATTATCATTTGAAAATCAAACGCACACAGATTCCTGTCCCCAACTGCTTTGTACAAAGTTGTAGGAAACCAGAATCTGTTCTCAACTAGGACACATTTGAGACTTCTATGATTCCTGGAATATCTTAAAACCCAAGTATGTCCATATGGAAGAAGGCTTTATAGTTTATAATCCATAGATTGATTTCTGCCTGGAAACAGACCAGGAACCAGAGAAGCCATGGAGTTACCTGTTCTCTGTAACCAGGCCCAATTGATAGTCTGGCCACAGAATTCTAGACCAGCCGAAATTCCTGAATGCTTTTCATTAGGAAGGTTCACATAAAATATGTTACGGTACTTCAAACAGAATATAGTTGAAGATGGGCCTCCATGGCGAGAGCAAACGTCTCCAAAATAGTACAACTGGCACACAAACTTCAGCTGTGCAAATGTATGCCTGACTATTGCCGAAGCTGGGCATTGATATTTGGGGCTGAATCTAAGAGTACACCAAACTATGAATTTGACTCTTCACCACATCCAGCACAGATTGAATTCCTATTCTCTGATCTGTCTTTTGACTAACAAGGGACACCTCCATATTCTCTGGGGCAAACTTCAGTTTGTTTGCCTCATCCAGTGATAGACATGAGGCACCAATGCAGAATTAGAACATTTTCCCTGGATTTAGATGGACTGGAGAAACAGACTTGGATGGTTTCAGTGCATTGATGGCCCTGAATCCCAAACTCCAGACTATTTCTCTCATCATTTTCATATCTATGAGAGGATGAGACAACCCTGGGGGACATCACAGGGCACCAAACAGAACTTCCCCACCATGTCTTTCTGCAACTGCCCCGCCAAGGAGGACTGCAATCATTATAGAATGGTGCTTCAGGACCTATCCTAGAGAAATGCCTCCAAAGGTAAATGGTATTGAAAGCTTCCCAGAAATCCAGCAGAGCCATCAGTTCCCAATGTAGAAGTGTTCACCATGGAGCAAAAGCAGTTTTTATTCTATAACCAGGCTTGAAGCCAGATTGAAATGGATCTATGTAAACAGTCTAATTAGAAACTCTGGGAGTTGAGACTCCACCACACGTTACACCACCTTATCCAAGAATAGAATATTGGATACTGTCTGGAGATGATCCAGTATGATGGAGTTCAGGAAGGATTTTTTAAAAATCAAAGATCTTATAAGTGCCTCTTTGAGAAAAGGTCGAATCACAACTTGTCAAAAAAGATGCATTTACCACTACTCATTTACCACTTGAACACATTCTATTCAATATATATTTCTAATGGAATATAAGATATATGTATTGGAGTTTGCAAAAAAAAAAAAATATCAGTTTTACAGCTTTTAAATAAATCCTTACTTATTTGGAATCTGTGAGAAGATTTCTGTCACCCATTTTTCCAAAATGTCCAGTGTGTCTAATATGGAAAGACATACATATATTTAAAAATGTTACAAAGTCATTCAGAGTAAGGTGGCAATGAAATATGACAATATTGTTGTAAAAAAGTTATTATGCGTTAACATGCTGTTATTTTCTAACAACCTTCTCAGCTACTGTTATGACAGTGACAGAGAGACAATTGTTATATACTGGCAGATGTGCAAACGGTGATCAAGGCATGCACCGTGTGCGTGTGCGTGCGTGTGTACGAGAGAATGAGAGAGAAAGAGAGAGCTGTGAACACTATTTGAGGTTCACTGGTGGTATTTAAAATCCTTAAGCCATGCTTATCTTGTACTAACTTTATGCCCACAGATAAACACCTGCATAATACATTTCCTGTATTATAGGAATAATGTTCCAATCCACCCTCTTGTACAAAACACACACCTGGAAGCAGAAACAGATTTCATTGATGTGCATCAACCTGTAGGTCACTTTCATAACCATTTTCAGCTCAAATGTGCAATTTGTTCCCAAGGCAATAACTGAATCACTGAGGGATTACTTGATTGTGTAAAATGCCCCTGTAAGTTTACACTCAGCTTCTCCCAGCTAGGGATGGGTGACTCTGCCAGTGTCAGTGTTGTTTGCTGTCTCATATTTCTATGACTGTAAGCTCATGCTGGCCCATCTATGCATGGGCCCGTGAATCCAGTAGAACAAATCACAACGTGCGCACAAAAATTCTTACTCTACTAGGAACATTTTTGCCTACACTTTTCCTAGCGTGTACATCTTCTGCAAAGAGCTTCCTCAAATATAATTCATTTATACATACTTACCCCATACTTACCCACAATGTTTTATAGAGTTTTATTTAATAAGTGCCTTTATGCACATTTGCTGTACCTGAAAATCTAGAAGGTTCATCAGCAACACTGATCACTATCCAAACCTTATCCTGGATGCTATTTTGCCAGCACAGCTGCTTAGTATTGGACAATCCCACAAGCCTCTCTTGCCAACAGTGACTCAGTTCCCCCTGACGTGAGCACACACATCATTTTCGCTCTCCTTCACTCACTCACTCACTCACTCATTCTTACACTTACGGTCATTTGTTTCATTTCAGCAAAGTTTTTTTTAAAATACCTCTAGACTGCAGTACAAGATTCATGTAGTGGGCTGAGTAGTAACGTTTCCAGAAATCCCGCAGCCTTGCATAGGTGTCAATGTTTTTCTTTTTTGGAATATGTTTAAGTGTCTCAGCATTACCTGTTAATTTGATTAAGAAGAGATCTCAAAGTCAAGAATGGGATTTTTGGCCATAGCTTTTCAATCATGAAAAATAATTATAAAAGATTTTTCTGAGATCCATTTCTCCTTTAAACTAAACCAGTCCAACAGTAATTAGCAACTGAATATTAACACCCAACTTTTGTTCATCTACATTTCCATTTCTATGGCATTCAAAGAGAACTTCTACTGGCCAACTAGCCCAACTCCTCCAAGCCATTCATGGATGCTTCCAGAGGCATTATTGTAGGATCAAGGAACACTCCCATATGAAAGCTTTCTTTATTCCAAGTCACACCACTGGTTCATTTACCTAAACTGAGCAAAAACACCTGATTTTCCCACCTTATCTACAGATGCCAAAGACTGAACGTGGAACTTTCTTCTATACCACTGAACTATTGTTTTTCCTTTACATTTTCATAAGGAAGTAACTTTATGATCCCTAACATTGGGCAAATCTGTCTATTCATTTTTTACAGCTTTCAATTTTTTTTGAAATGCTATTTCATTCCATCTCATTTTTGCATCAGTTTGTGTATTCAGGGGCAAAACTTCTGTGCAAAATTTGTGTACATTTCCACTAATATAAATATCTCTGCATGCAATTTCCCTAAAATTGATATTTTTGTTTCTGCAAGTAATTTTCCCAATGTGTGCCTTTTTGTATCCAGTATTCCCTAAATTTTATCTAATGTTTGCATTCAGTTTTCTTCATGTACTCATTATATACTCATATTTGATCAGAGAACTGTATTTTAAAATTCAGAGAAGTGTGAAAATCAAATCAAACAATAGCATGGCAAGTCATATGTCATTTTGGAATGTATGAATCAGGCTGGTCTGTATTAAAATGAACATTGCGCTAATTATATAATTACTGTAGGTCCATGCTGGGCTAAAACCCAGCTAAGGCAAAAATAAACCTTATGGAAAGGAGCCTCCCTTTCCCAAGATGCATATTGCTAAAATGCGTGACTATATCAAGAATTTAAAACTTTTACAGGTTCAAAACATTTTTAAATAATTGGCAAAATACCAAAAGTACATGTAGTTCTTCAAATACTGCTAAACTGTATCCTCAATGAAAATGCTTTGCATATCAGTATATTTAACTTACCCCAAAAGAATTTTCTCATTGGATGTCCTCGTTTTGCAAGGCTTCCAAGCAGCAATTCCCTTCTGTTTGCATCAGAGGGCCTTGCTATTTGATATTCTGTTTGTTTTAAAGAGGACATTAATCGGCACAATGTAAGAGTACCATTTCCATTATAAGGTCATTTTAGACAAGAAAAAAGCATAATTATTAAATACAGACATATTTAGGGTTGCAGTCCTGGAATACTTTGCATGCTTATCAAACTTATAAGGTGAGTCAGTATTATTCCTGATGATGGGCTGTGCCTAAGAAACAGGGACCTTCCCAAAGCCAGATTGAAAGTTTGATATTTGAAGATTTGACCCCAGAATATAGACTAGGCCAGAAAAACTCTGGATGCACAAGTGCTTTAAGGTTCCCCCAACCCCACTGGAGCCTGGTAGTTCCAATGTTAGTGTGGCAATTCATCCACTCTGCATTTTAACTGGAGTGTCTAAGAAGCTATCCATGGAACCAAACCTCAACCACCAAAATAGCTTCAGCACCATGGATAGATCCTTTGATGTTCAGATTAAGGCCCAGAGTGGATAGACCATCCCACCCACATTGGAACCATCAAGCACAGCCACAGCAGCCAGAAAACTAAATAATCTTGGGAACTTTGTAAAGCTTAGTAACCTTAAAAAAACTAGAGTTAAATATAGGAAGACGTAAGTTTCTTCTGCCTCTCCCCAATATTAACTTGTCATCCATGTCACCATCACAATTAATACACAAAAATCACACAAAAGTGATTATATTTCTACATTTTAAAGTGGTCTATTGCCCAATACTAAACATATGTATTCATCATTATGACCCACTAAATTCAATGTTATTTATTTCCTGAAGAAATGTGTATAACTGTAGTTTTACACTTAAGTGATCAAGTTTGGGATGCTTTGGGAATTGATAAAATTACACTCTCAGAATTTATTGAACACCATCCAACACAAAGTTAAACACATTTAAAGCCACTGATTTAGAAAGTCTTAAGTATGCTTAAACATTTGGATTTTGGCCACTGTATCTAAATGTTACTTTTTATAAATTGTTACATCAAGTATAGGTCATCCAAATTTCACAGGTCTAGCCTGTATCATTTATTATTTTAGCTGTTTATAATTTGTTTTAAAATTTTAGCATCTTGGAAAATAATATGGGGCTTCATTGTAATGACTGTTTTATGAACTGTGTCAAAACACCAAGGGAAGAATGGCTGTCGGGCAGCATGGAAAACAAACAAACAAACACATGTGATGCAAAAAACTTTATGAGAAAGACTCTTTAGAATGACAAGAAAGGCAGTAATACCCACAACCTCTCAATTAAGTCCATTCGTAAGCTGTCCAGAGATGTAGAGTGATTAGACGTGTTAGAAATACCCCAAATAGATCAAATTTGCTTTACCACTGTCCACGGCTTCCACTTCCCTGTCAATTGCGTCCTTTATCATCAGTGGGTGAATGAAGAATTGTGCCCATCTGCAAGAAGAACAGAACTGAAAAGTTGAATATGTTGAACAATGTTTGATTTTCAGAAATGTATCTATAGGGTCCCTCCCCCTCCTTTAAGCTCAAGATACTCACAAGCAAGAAGTAATGGACCCAACTAGCTTCAACACTTCTTGAACAGGAAATCCTGAAAACCATATGAATAACTAACAAGCTTTCATTAATACCCTTCCTGAGCTTTACTTAGATATATAGGTGAGAACTGAGCCCGAGGAAGTTATTCATATGGTCTTTTGTGGTATTACTTTCTTTTGTCTTCTAGAGAAATTCCTAAACATTCCCTCCAAGGAAAGCACATGAATAGCTGTCGGGGACTGGGACCGACAGATCACATTTTTTAACTTAAGGCTTGTTCTGTCCACTTTATGTAATAGCTTAATTTTTAAAAAAGCTGAATGGAAATTCATACACATTTTTTCATGATGTACACATCCATGTTCTCATTTTAGAAACACACTGTACGTTTTTGGATGCATGCGATAAAGCATGTTTGCATGCATTTTGAAATGCATGTATTTATCTTCTGTGTATTGTTCAAATGTGTGCATGCTGCAAACTGCAAAAGTAAAGAACTTAGTCAATATATTTGGCTCATTGGGCTGATTTCTCTTTTGCTAGTCATTCATTCATTCATTCATTCATTCATTCATTCATTCATTCATTAAATTTCTATCCCACCTATTAGCCAAGATCACCTTCTGTAAACCAACCAGAGATTTGGTTTTGTGCTGCAAGGTTACCTGTCAAGGGCTTCTTTAAAATATTTCTTCTGAATATCAAACTGAAAGACTGTTCGCTCTGCATCAGTCGATGCATTGTCAGAGCCTCCATGCTTCTTTAAGAATGTATCAAACCCATTCTCATCTGGGTATTTCTTGCTACCCATAAATACCACTGGGGAGGAAAATTAAAAGATTGGTATGATTGACTAGCAGATACGGGTCCCATTCCAGAGGTCCCCAGATGCCCGATACACACATGGGACATATGTTCATGGGCTTCTTAATTTCTCAAACCCAATGCATGCATGGATTCCTTTAAAAAGCTCTGGTGGTATAGGACCACTCTGCACCTAAAGCGATTGCACCTTTAAGCAAGGAAGAGCTTTTTTCTGGTCTATATACACCTGCAGTGCTGGACCATAGCAGACCTTCAATGGAGATTAATGGCTCAGCCGCTAAGAAGAGATTCCGCTAGTATCCAGAGCCAGCACCTCCCACCGTGGCAAGGCCCTCTGGTCCTAATCCTTGCCTTGGTTTCACCAGCACTGACCCTTGTTTTGCATGTTTGTGGGCTTAACTGGCAGTAGCAGCTGGGGCTGGGAAGGGACCTACCACTGAAGATGCCCGCAGTGCTGCAGAACTCTCTGGAAAATTTAAAGGGTGGGTTGCTTCCTGAGCACAGCCACATAAGCCTGTGGCTGAAACAGCAATGGCGGCAGAAGAAAAAGGTGCATCTAAGGATCAATATGTTGTTAGACTTTGCAAGGTATGAAAGATTTTAAAGGCTCAGACATGACGCATGGCTGACTAACTGCCCTGGATACTTACAGGGAGCCTTGGAGCAAAGAGGGATGCCAATCAACCACATGGGGCCAAATAGGTTTGCCCCATACTCAGGGTATATTCCTTTCTGTTCTATTGAGTATTTGGTGTGCCTTCTATAACTGAATAAAGTGTGTTTTGCCAAGCTTTCTGGGCTCAGGTGATTGGCCACTTATGCTAATGGTGTGTGTGGTGGGGGTGAAGGCTTAGGAATAGGGGAACCATGCCCTCAAGTTGGACCTGTCTACCTCCTCATAACAGGACAGAGCCTAAAGATCTTAACATGCATGTTGGCTCATGCTGGGAGGAGACATCTGAAGGTTCATTAACTGTTTCCTGATGCATTATTAATAACTTAATTCTTTGGCAACACATTTTCTTTTGCTTCAACAGAAAAATATGAAATGGCTTATAATGTTAAATGAAAATACTGAAAAAGAAATGATCCTGTAGCAGCGTGTTAATGATAGCAGCATTCTAAATCAATAAAGGATACAGTATTTTATCTCTCTCCCACCCTTACTCTCTTTAGAATTGAGGAAAAGTAAGAAAATTAAGCTGTTACATACTATGCTCCAGAAAATGAGCTAGCCCAGGTAAATCATCAGGGTCATAGAAACTGCCAATACAAACTGCAAGGGCAGCTGCAGACTGCAAAGACAAGACAGAAAAGGAGAAAATGGGCATTGCATCATAAGAAAAAACAAAATTCCATCACTCATGCCTCTCCTTCCCTACAGATCTCAAGCAAAGAGGTTGTGAGGTTTTGATGACCTGCTTGACAACACAATTGCTGTGAATAAGGATAATATGTTCTGTTATATATTCACATATAGGGTTATACAATATAGATCTAACTAGTGCTACAGAATTTTCCTCTTTTTAAATACTGTTCAATTTTTTTCTTTTTCTTTTTCATGGTGTGGTTTGGTTGGGGCAAGATGGGGCAAGAATCCTGAGGTCACATAACTTCACATTTCAGGAGCACAGATAACATTTTCTTCTTATCCCATTTTTTTAAAAAATAACCTTAAAACAGCAGGAAGGAAACTAGTACAACAGGGAGAAGAGCTCTAGCCCAGCATTCCCCCTGTTGTGTTAGTTTCCCATAACTATTTCTATTTAATGCATAAAAGAATTTAAAAATGCAGTGGTCACCAACCACCTACCTGCAGACAGAAGTCATATAGCCCATTCTATCCCTCTAGAAAAGACCCCACTGCAGACTCAGTATCTGTGCAAGCATCCACCTGCATACAAGCAGGGCTAAAGTGTGTCAGGGTGCAACCCTAGGGCCTCCAAGTGGTTGGAGTGACAGCTCTGAGCTTCCACAGTCTTGGTGCTGGGTCTATAGAGACCACCCCCACTCCACCCCAAGACCTTATAGCCAGCATGGGAAGAACTGTGCGGGCTGCCTTTCCAGGATCACAACTGGGGCTTGGAGAGAGCAAAAAGTTGCATGCCAGCAGGCAGAGAGGAGTCCCTCTAGCCACTGCATGCAGGTGAATGCGTCCACAGGGCATCCCAAGCCTCAGGCTCGTTGTCTGTCTCCGAAGTCCACAGCAGGTCCTGTACTCAGATACTAGTGTCTCCTATATAACCAATGAAAGTCACATATGCTGAGATGTTATGGAGACAGTGGGCAAAATAAAAGGTTTATGAGAGTGGTGGACAACTTGGGGGAGTCTGGGAACCCATTTAAACCCCTGCAGAGCCACCACAGCCTGCAATCTCACTGCCATGGAATCAATTGGGGTGAAATTGGGTTCTCAGCCTCTGTAGCAGCTACAGAGAGTGAATGGAAAAAAAATACCTATTCTAAGTTTCCGTAGTGATTTGCTGCAGAATTACAGCAAGAAGCCATTATTTTCTCACCTTTATTTTTGAGGGAAAGGAAAGCAAGGACAAGGCAAGAATGAGGCATGATAGCCCATTCTTGATTTATGAGCACTATTTGAAGTGCTTGTGCTGATTTATAAGGCAGAAGCCCTGCATTTGGCCTCAGGGGCTCTTTTCTCTGACATGTTATTAGTTGCATCTCCATCCTTCCAGAATCAGTGGCCATTTAGAATTTTGAGGTGGCGCATGAGCTCCCTTACACAATGGCTGCCATTGGAGGGTGTTGTCCATCCAATAAATGGCAGCTGCCTTGCCCATGGCTGGACACAAAATACTCATTTCCTGGAAGGCAAGCTTAGGCAAATTGCTTTTTAAGGAAAATTGACTTGGCCAAGATTCTAACTACATGGCAGACATGGAGCCCAAACACCAAAACATGCAGCCACCCTTCTGTGCCCAAATAACTATGGTACTAGAGGGTCAGGAAACATGTCCCTTTGCAACATACAGGTCATTCTGTCACTTAAAAGCAAAAGTACTTTTTATAAAATCCCAAGAAATAAAATACAATCAGGGAACCTGGTAGGAACTAAGAGGGATGTCTGCGGACACATTGCTGGACAAGGGCCCCAAAGTTAAGAACAAATTGGCAGGTACCAAGAGAGATGTTGACAAAAGCAGCTTTCGCTCATTGAGATGGAAGTTCAGCGTTGTACCTGGAAGTCTTGTCCCTGTGAAACTCACAGTCCATACCCCAAGACCTGTGCCTGCGATCTTATGAGAAGGGGGGTTTATATGTGCAATCTAATGTACATGCATATTTATTACATTTCTATTCCTCCCAATAGCTGAGCTCTCTAGTGGTCCACCACGATAAAAACCATAAAATACAGTAAAATATACACACTACTGATGTTTAAAACAATGGTAAAAAATCAAAGCAAGAGCCAAAGTCAAACCTAGCAGCAATGGAAAGATTAAAATCAGCTAACAGATTTAAACCAGAGAATGCCAATCCCAATGGGGCAAAGCTCTCTCTCATCAGTACATGGTCATATGGCTTCGTAACATACCTGTTTTTCTGTACTGCCCATCTTGTTTAAAACTTCTTGTTTCACTAGTTCTTCATAACCTTCAGGATCATCATGATATTTTGTCTGACTAACATTGTCTTTGAGAGCATGAACAAAATCACGAACAGGATCACGATCACTAACAACTTCTTTGTCATCATCTTCAACAGTTTCATCACTGACATCTCCACCCCCAAAGTCATCTGCAAATTCTTCTACAATTCCATCTTTCAACTCTTCATCCTCACTACTGCTGTTCTTCTCAGGCTCAGGGATTTCCTCCTCATCTGTTCCAGAGGACATTCTGTCTTCCTCTATTTCCTCTTCAGATGCCTCTGAAGAATTGCAGTCATCATAAGACAAGTCAGAAATCAACAGCACATTCAAGCCATTTTTTAATTTAAGGTACCTGCAAAATAAAACAAAATTAACAATGACAAAACACTATTAAAATCTCTTCTGTACCCTGCTTGATAGAATGATAGTAGAATTGGAGGGGTTAGGTCCAACCCCCTGCTATTGCAGGACACTAAGTTACACTACAACTTCCTCATGTATAGGTTCCATTGTCATACTGCTCTGACAGCGAAGTAATTCTTTCTGGTGTCCAGTCTAAATCTGGTTTCTTTTAACTTAACTCCATTATTCCATGTCCTGCATTCTGGAATGAACAAGAGGAGATCTTGTCCTTCCTCTTTGTGACAACCTTGGAGAGTATTATATATCCCCCTCTGCCTTCTCTTCCTGAGGGTGAACATGCCCAGTTCTCTCAATCTTTCCACACAGGGCTTTGCCTCCAGTCCCTGAATCATCCTTGTTGCCGTCCTCTGAGATGTAGCTTACAAGCAATTCTCTTGGCATTGAAACAGTTTTAGATTATCATTTTTTAAGTGGGAGGGTGACATGTTTCAAAACAAAGTTTCACCCTCCAGCACTTTCTATTCGGGCTCAAAAGAATGGTTTTCTCCCATGATTTGGAGATCAGATACCAGCTCTGTAGCTGGGTTGTTAGCAAGTCATTTTTTCTTTGGACTCACAAATTGACCTTCTGGGAAAAGCATGTTTTGTGAATGAGTATATCCACCAAAGTAGCCAGTAAGAAAGAATACCCACTACCCCTTTCCAATTCCAATGTACTGACTAGTCCTAACACATTGGGGGCCTCTGCTGTAGGGGACAAGAACATAAGAAAACTCCTGAAGAAGGTTCCAACTAGTGAAGCAACTACAGGGCACTAGCTGAGCCCTGTGAATGTGTGCACACATGTCTGTGTTTGTCCAGTGGTGCACTGGAGCCAGGGCTCGTGGGGACAGAGCACCTCCCCTGTGCATTAACAGGGGTGGTAACCATTTGGCATTCTCAGAATCCCTGCTGCCTTCTGAGCTTCGCTGCGATCTCACAATAATTCTCTCTCTGTATGTGGGAGTGTGGGGGTTTACACTTCCTAACAATGATATACTGCCTCCTTTTATAGAGTAAATTGTTTGGGGTGGCTTGGTCTTGAATAGACAAGTAAAATCTGTTTGAAGAGCTCTGCTGAATCAGGCGAGGGAGCATTCTGCTCCAACAAACACCAACTGGCTGCTTCTTGTGCAGATGAAAACTGCTGAAACTGTTGTGCTGAGGTGGGTCCGTGCAGTTGCTGGCGTTACTGAACAGTCCCTAGGGCCATGGCCATGGGGGGACCACCTGCATTTCCAAAGCACCACACAGAGCCACTGTGCATCATCTCTGCATCTGAGTACGCGTATGTGATGTGTTGCATGGGCTGTTTATGTGCACACGGGTGTGAATTGACTCTGGACAAGCATGCCAGTCTTCAGAACGACCTCCCACTTTGGACAGTTGACATGCGGCCCCTCAAATTAATGGGTCCATTGAGTCTCCAAAGTTGTCCAGCCCAGCCCTTAAGCTTCATTTACCTGTATTCCTTGTGGTCACTGGGGGATTTCACAATGTCTGGGTCCCCCACATTTTTCTTAGGTCGGTGTTTCCTCCTGTCCTCAACATCTTCCTGGGCCCTGTGCCTGCGACATCTCTGCCCTCTCTGCTGCCGTGGGTGGATGACTGGGCAGTTTCCGGTCCCTGGGGGCTTTGTCTCTCCAGACATTATAGTGGTTCTAAGATGACTTGCAAAAGTTAACTTAATCTGTATCCCCCTGCCTAGCCACTGCTGTGTTGTACAGTGGTAATCTCCATCTTTTTAAAGCAAAAGCAGCCTTCCCTCCTTCACTATGGAATCTTTCTCAGTTCCCATTGCCTGTATGGATTCTTCAGGACTTACATCTGTTTATGACATAGATAAAGGAAAAAGCCATGATTCCATGTTGGGGTGTAAGAAAAAGAGTAACAGACTCAGCAAATACGGAACTTCATTGATCTTGGCATTTATGTATTATTTGTTGCAGCCTTTATTTTCAATAAAGGAACGAACAAGTCTGTTAATTTTGATTTTTTAAGTTTGCTTCATTTCATACTTTGAAAATGTCTACAAGAAAATGGTTGTTCCTGTGTGGATAAGACTGAAAGGAGGACAGGAATTGTGTAAGCCACCTTGAGTTCCTTGGAAGAGGAAAAGGCAGGATATAAATATAATATAAATATAATTTTCTCAAGTTTTACATCTAGTTTGTCCTGAACATTGAGAATTTTTTGAGTTTACTTCAAACTCATATGTATTTGTGTGTACATTTTTCCTAATAAATGCATTTTGTATGCAATTTTGCCTGATAGGAAAATAGCTTGCAGAAAAAAAAAATCAAATACAATCAATGTTATACATGATTGCCCCTAATAAATGGATTTTTGTAGTCATATTTTGACTGGAGAACTCCACTGCAAAATTCAAATAGATGCAAACTGTAGAAGATAACTGTCTTTTGGTTCAAACATGGAACAGTAGGTAAGCTTGCATTAACATGTGAATTAAATGAATTTCTTTCATATCCTTACCTAAAAGGTCCTCCAGGCATTCAAAAATAAATTCATTTTAAAATGAGAAAAAATCCAGGAAGCCAGTAATAAGCTAGAAGTAAATACCATCATATAACAGTGAGTTGTAAAAATACTAAAAATAGCTGCAGAGGAGGATAAAAAATCAGCATCATTACAATTTTGAGTAAACAGGACAGACTTTGTCCAGTATCCAAATTACAGCAAAGTGGCCAGGTAAATATAGCTGTAGAAACAAGCTCATGATTAGGGGACTTTCACATACAAACCTCTTGTACTAACCTACCCAAACTAAGAAGATGCAAGTGATTTTGGAAGCCCATCTTAGTTGGAAAAAGGCATTCTTTTGGATACCTGTTTCAGGCTTAAAGCATCAAAACTCGCATTTTGAATGGAGTATGGAAGTGAACTGAGAATCATCAGGGGATGGATCCCTTTGTTCCCATGACAATGCTCATATACCTCTGAACTGGAAACTTAGGAATCTCTCATGCCAGGGGCAAGGCCCATCAGTGGTGATCTTGGTGGTGCTTTGCAGCCAGTATTTTCTCTAGATGGTCATTTTCAGGGGTCTGGATTTAGTGCAGGAGAGGGGAGAGGAAGGTGGCTTTGGTACCCGTAAGAATCAGCATAACTCCATAGCCCCAGACTCTTCCCTCCCTTCTCTGAGGCCCATTTGCAATCTCACTTTGTGGTTCCTTCTATACCTGCTGCTGTGGGGTAGAGTGTGGGCTAAGCCTTTATAGGATCTCAGAGCTGTGAGCCTGCAGAATCCTAAGGACTGTGCCCTTAGTGCCTTCAACACATGCTTTGCTGTCCATCTTGAATTGACAGTTTTGCATTATCCAATAGTTTTTCCAGAGTTTCTTCAGCTGCTGTGAAAGAGAAGCACACTTATTCCCAGTTTCTGACTCTACAATTCGTTCCGCCAACTGTCTTGTCTTGGATGGCAGTAGAGGTGATCATTCAGCTTGTCTACATATATTCTAAACTTCCCCTTGCCCCTTCTTAGCAGAATGAGAGAGATCAGAGCCAGCCCAAGACATTTGGCTCTGAACATACAGAAGGTGACTTCAGGAAGAGCTACATCTTACTGTGACACTGGCAATGGTGCAGCATCCTCCATCACACCTCAGCAAATGATCAGTTATGTGTTGCATAGCACCTATGAGTATGTCCTTCAACATATCACAGCAGCAACACTGGGATTTCTATCATCTGGTGCCTAAAGTGGTTGCCCCATTTTGCCTAATGGTAGGACCAGTCCTGAGAAGAGTTGATGAACCTGTAATTGGGGAGAACCACAGCGCTATTGAAAAGTTCTGTTCTGAAGGGGTTTGGCTCAGATACAACTTTATCAGTTCATCAGAACTATGTCTTAGAGAGACACGACCCATCACACAGGGAACACATTCCAAATCGAGAGGGAAATGTTTGTGGTTTATACATTTATTTATTTCACTAGGTAGAGGGCATTTTTCAGAATTCTTCTTCCATATGTGATTGCATGGTATTATTTAGCTTGTGTCTAGATAGCTGATGCTTGAACAAAGTTCTCAGGACAGTTAGCGATCAAGGTTAAAAGCAGAAAGTAGACAGCATGTGAAATACAAAATACAAGCTAAAAATTCAAATCCATAAAGTTATGATAGTAACCGCAGATCTCATGACTGATGTCAGATAAGATTAAGTTGACAATGGAAAAAGGGTTAAAGGCCAGAGAAAATAAAACAGGCAGCTGTCAGGTGCCGGACTGAAATAAAAGAAAACCACTGAAAAACTTCCCTGGGAAGACACCACTACCAAAAAGGCCCTGCCTCCTCGCAACCAGTGTACCACTCCTGGTAGTAGCAGGCACAGATGAGTTTCTGATGGCTTGGTTCAGTCTGTATAGGTAGAAGACAAGTGAAGACAAGTGATCTTTCAGTTAATCTGGTCGCAAACCCTACGTTAAAAACATTATTGGCATGAGAGCAGGCATGCCAAGGATCCTAGAAGTCATTTGAAACCATTTGTCTTAATGGTATAACAGAACCAGTGAGATCCAGAAGCCCAGAGAAACTATGGTAGTAATGGCACATTGCATATGAAGTGTGAGCAGACAAATATGAGAGTTCTCTATGGTTTTTGGCTTAAAAACTGACTCTCTTTTGCATTTGTCCAAATGGCAAAAACTATATGGAAAGACACAGAATTTCCCCTCCTCTCCCATCCCTTTGCTGGAACTTTAAACCTCTGTTGCTACAGCATGTGAATATGTGGAGTGTGTTTATTATCTTCTCCAGAAATACACTGTTTTATAAAATTAATCTGTGTTTTGCAAACAGAAAAATGATATTGCAGCTGCATGATGACTAACAACAGCTTCCCTGCTATCAGTTGGAGGAGGGAAGGAAAACAAAAGCGAGCAATCAAGGTCAGTAAGAAGCATTGGCAAAGATTCACTGTAGGTTTATAGTACCATTATCACCTCTATTTACGTCAAGGAATAAGCAGGGTTATGGAAGAGCCAACTGAAAAAGTAGGACTGAGGGATTTGAGGTTTACAATGTAATTTATATTACTAATGTATCTTCCCATAGAAAAGATAATCCAATTTAAAACCTGATTTATCTATTATGGATCACTCTATATTTTGCTTATGTCCTCAAAGTTTAGCATAAGAGCTTGGATTATGTAGTGCTCTGAGCCAAAATCCATTTTAATGCAAATAAATAAATAAATAAAAACGTATCATTTTGGCTTGCTAACTTGTTTGCAGCCTCTTACTTTTAGTTCCAGTAAAACGAGCATGAAAGCAAGGCTTTGATGCTTGGTAATATGTAACATGTACAGAAGAATAGCCATAGCTAGTGTTGTTGACATACAGTAGGCCAAGATCTCAGAGCTATAACCATTTAGTCAAGCTACCCAAAGTACGGTTTTGAGTTCTGTGGTAATGGAAGTACAAGGTGCAAGAGGCATTCATGTAATCCTTGGTGCTGTAGTGTCTCACAACCTCTGTATCCTGTGCATGTTTGGGAGAAGGAATTGTAGCTTAGAGCCAGAGTGTGTGCTTTGCATGCAGGAGGTCTAAGGTTCAGTTCCTGGTACTTCTGTAGGGAACTGTCCAGGGAGCTTTGGTTAATGGATGGTGCAAGTGGATAGAGTTGGGCAATGCCTTCATGAAACCCTAGAGAGCCACTGCCAAGCAATACCAACCATAGTACGGAAAGTGGACCAACGGTCTGTCTCAGGATAAGGAACCTCCAATGTTGTCCTGTTCATACATCCTCATGTGCCAGAATGATGATTCACAGTCATGGGATGAACCAGCTGGAAAGCATTGCTGTCATCCCCAGGTGTGCTTTCTGGAACACTGATAGGCAGGGTCCCCAGGTGAGAGAGAAAAGGGAAAGTTATCTGGAATGGGCTTTATTATTCCACCCATAGAAATCTCATTCCTAGAACATACCTGGAGGGTCCTAGAAAGCAGTGCCTGAAGGCTCATGCATGCTTCCACAGAGTCTGTTCCTAGTGTGTTCTCCCCACCCATTTCCTGAGAGAATTCCAGATATGTCAGTATCCTTCAGCAAGCAAATTGATTAGATGAGGAAGGAGGTCTAGGGACAAGGATTCCTGAATAACTGGGTGGCATGGGAGCTCAAGTTTCTGGGAAGCATTGGTTTTGCCTCTGAAATCCATTTGGGCATAGGAATGGAATCAAATCTGAGTGGATGAGTGAGTGGTGTGTATGTGTGTGTACATGCGCTATATGTTGTATGAGGATTATGTGGGAGTAGCTGATACCCAGGGTAATCCTCAGGGTCTGTGCATCCCTGGGTTAACAGGGCCATGTGGACAGGCATCTAAATGGAAGCCTCTCATTCAGGAATGTATTCTAAAGCAGCAGCAGATAAAATAGGACTTAACCATACATAACTCACGCATGTGCACAAATGGTGTTCCTTTGTTATTAGCTACAGAGACTCTGATGAAATACATCTAGAGGAGAGGGATGGGGAAGAATTCATGCAGTTCACATTTGAATGCAAACTTATCCAATTTCAGTAAGTATGTACACTGGATTTGTCTGAATCCCCAGCTGAATTGAACCCCTTATGTTAGGAGTGGAAAAGACTAGTTGCTCTTAGAGTGCATTCTCAAGGTTTTCTGACT